CTTTTCCTTTGCCTCCTCCCTTTTCTGTCTCTCTCTTCTCCCACCACGGTCCCAGCTCCATCCTGCTGAGGAAGGAGAGTGAGGGGGTGCATTTAGGGCATGGGAGTGGAGGACGTTCCACTCATAGGGAAAGTGTGTGAGAAAGTCTGGAGGCCTTAGAGTCTCTTTCAAGGGCTGGTTGTTGCCACAGCTGGCTAATACTGAGGGCCTCTCAGCCTAATTTGTGCTGTTATGTGGGAAGACCTCTCCACCAGAGGTGAAGATGAGGAGGAAAGAATGGATGAAGGGCACAGAGAGCCCTGTTGGGGCATGCCTGCTTTCTGTACCCTGGTGTGAAATACTATGGTATGGACACTTTCTTTTTCACTGTGTTTCATGATCATATGTGTTTTTACAGTGTTCATCCATTTGTACCAATTTCATCCCCTGTGTTTTAGTTAACTATTCTTTTATCAGCTTAGTAGGTGTCCAGAAAGTCAGATTCAAAAGATGAAACTTTTCTCAAGGCAAGTGCTTATCATTCTCTTCTTTCCAGTGCTCCAGAAACCAGGTTTCACTTTTAGATACCATCTGTGAACCCTGCTGGTCACATTTCATCTTTCTCTTAAAATGCCACTGCTGTTGTCCTCCCAAGTTCTTCTGTTTCTTACCCAGAATCACTGGAAGTAAATTCTCCATTTCTTCTGGCGTAGAATCAAGGAGCGTGGGTGATGATTGGGTTTGATGAGTCTTGGCAAGTTACTTTTTCCCCAAATGAGTAACCCAACTCTTGGTCAGTCATGTTAGACCCATATTGCCACGATCATTCCCCATGGGAGGAAGTCACCCACGGCCCTTGCTTTGTCTTCTTCCTGGGATCAGATAAAGGGTGGCTTGAACCAGGTGTACTGTCGTTTCCCTGGAGCCCAGGATTGTGCTGCTTCTTTACTAGGGCTCTGTGGAAAGAAAGACCCTTATGTCTAATTTCATAGCTCCAGGTGTATAGACTTCATTCTATTTTCTGGGCCATGTTTCCAACTCTTTTGGTTTTTTTTCCTGTAAGGGGATGAAAAGTCCTTTTTGGAGCTCTAGTCCTTAGGGTTTTATTTGAAGGGTAAAGAGAAATTTTATGAAATTTGAAAGCCCTACAAATACATATATATTTTTTAAGATTTTATTTTTCCTTTTTCTCCCCAAAGCCCCGCAGTACATAGTTGTATATTTTTAGTTGTGGATCCTTCTAGTTGTGGCATGTGGGATGCCGCCTCAGCATTGCCTGACAAGCGGTGCCATGTCCACACCCAGGACTCGAACCGGCAAAACGCTGGGCTGCCGAAGCAGAGCGCGGGGCTGGCCCCGTGCAAATATATTTTGACTTTTACTTTCTTGTTTAGTAACTGGATGTTAAAGATCATCGCAACTGAGGGGAAAATTGGAGTGATGGTCAAATTTATTTATAGTAGGATGTATAGGATTTAAGCCAATAGACTTAGTTTAATATTTTTCCAAACAAACATCATGCCCAAATTCTAAAATTCTATAAAATAGACACAAATATGAATATAAACTTTAAGAAGTTTATATTCTATTTTTCATAGAAGTGACAAATTTAAATAATTTCTCAGTTGTTAGTAATGCTTCTGTTTACAGCTGACATATTCCAGTGATATACAACTTTTTTTAAAACTGCAAAAATACAGAAGGATTAATTTTAGGACATCAAATAAACCAAGGTTTAATTATGAAAAAAATCATAAAGACAAATCATAGCAGTGCAGACGTGGGCCCCCCAAGAATCAGTTCACTTGCTGGACTCTAGGGGAAGAGCTTGGGTGAAGATTTGGGGTGCCAGGCAAAGTCTCATCGATGGCCCAGCTCCATTGTTCGTTCTGTAAACCTGGAATCACAGGTCCAGTGAGGCACCCGAGACAACCAGTGCTTGGGACAGAGCCAGGGCTCAAACCCAGGGTTCTCGACTCCCACTATTTTTCTTGCTTCCGTAACACATACTAAGTATGGTTATTAGATTTTTCCATGTTCTGTTTTGTCTGGGGAAGAAGTAAAATAAACAGTGCTTTGAGTTGCTGCAGTGAGAAGTCACCGTTGTGAAGGGAGAAAAAGAGGCAGAAAGAGGAGCCTTTGAGTACGTTCAGTGAGGTTTTCTGTAAGATTTCTTTTAGTTTGTGATTTAGAGTGGAGTTGACCCAGAGCAGCTTTTGCCCCAGTTCCAGAGGGTTGTGGAAGTCCTGTGGCCTGTTCGGTCATGCCCAACAAAAATCCTGTCAAGCAGCCCCAGCACGGAGCCTTGTGCATGCTGATTGGTGGACAAATGCTGGATGAGTTGAAGTGATAGAGGCAGGAAGCACAAACATTTATGATATGCAGTCCTGATAAAGAATTGAATATTGTGTCTTCCTTGAAATTTGACAGACAATGTGTATAAAATGTCTGCTTTGACACACAGTGAAGAGTTTGATTTCAGCTAATTTGTTTCTTAGGATGCATAAGCTGAGAACTTCTTTCTCCCGTCGGGTATGGGTGCTCTGATTTAACTTTCCAGCTCGGATCTCTCCTGAGCACCAGACTTAACCTCACTTGTCACCAGTTACCTGTTTCTCTTCCATCCTGAGTCAGCAACATGATCGGCAGTACTGCTAGAGCTAAGTTTTTTATTGATCCATTTTTCTTTACTAGGAAATCTCCTCTTTCTTCTCTAGCTCACATTCTTCCACTGTCCATACCAGTGGCTCTGGTTTCTATTCTCCTAATTGAGAACAGAAGCCCACAGGCCAAACCATTTCAAGATGGAGTAAGATGTCAAGTATATAAAAGGCTATAGGAAGATTGAGGAAGGTGAAAACAAAGAAAGAAATTGGATTTGGTGATTGAAGTGGCATCTGACTTGTGGGACAAGTTTTATAGTATAGTGAAGACTTTCCCCCACACCTTTCTTCCACTTGTGTACCTGTTTTGGAGATGGCATCCGAGTGGTATCCTTCCAGTCGCTTGAAACCTTGTTTGTTGTAAGGGCCCTGCTCTCTCTTGCTCACTTTATTCAGTTAGTAAGTTTTGCCAGTGACACCTCCATATTTTTTCTCGTTTGTGTCCCTTTGATTTTTCCTCCCTAAATTTGAATCTTTGTAAATCAGCTTTATGTTATCATTCACATCTAATTGACCATTGAGTTATGATGGTTCTTCTTCATAATTGAATTGCAAATCTGTCCCTTTTTTTCATCTCTGTTATCATTATCTGAATTGGAAAGTACAGTGGACAGTTTTTAGTTGTTTGGCCTACTTGATCATTTTTCAACTTTTGACACTATTGAGCTCTGTCTCTCATTTGTAACTCTCCTCTTGACTCTTGAGACTCTATTCTCCTGATTTCTTGCCACATCTTCGATGGCTTTTTCTTGGTCTCCTTTGAGGGCCCCCTAAATATAGGTGTCCTCTAGATTCTGTCCTCTGGCTTGATTTCTCCTGAATATGTCTGGGCAATCTCAGCCATACTCATGATTTCAACTACCACCATCTGCTGACTCCCAAACCTTTATCCTTAGCCAGACTGTTCCACTGAGTCCTAGATCTGTATTTTTCACTTGTTTATCAGATACTTCACTTGGAGGTTCCACATAACTTTAAATACAGTGGATTCAAACAGAAACTCATCATCCTCTTTTCCAGCCTTCTTCCTTTTTTGTTTTGCCTTGATGAAGGGTACCACCAGTTACCTGTCATCCAGATAAGACACCTGGGTGATGTTAATGCCTCCTTCTTCATTCTCCACTTTCATTAGGTCACAAATCCTATTGATTCTTCTGCCTCAATTCCTAAATCTCTGTCAAAGCTCTCTTCATATTGTGGTCATCACAGCCTTAGGTTAGACCCTCATTATTTCTTGCCTCATCATTTTATCTCCTAACTGCTCTCCCTTTGTGTAGTTGTCTCTCCTTTTTTCTCCCTACTTCCAAATTTAATACTCATAGCTAAAATTTGAGTGCTTATATCTCATCTACATGTGAAATGTTTTGCATGCATTCTCACTTAGCCATCACACTAAATCATTATTAGCCTTTTTACTTTGGAGGAGAGTAGGTCCAAGCCTCACAAATAGTAGGTGGTGGGACGGAGATTTGACCCCGGGCTGTATGCTCCTGAGCACAAGATCTTAACCAGTTCACTTTTAGCCTTTCACTGGCTGCCCCTCTTTCCATGCTGTGGTCTTTGCAAGCAAGTCACTATCACGGCCCACATGCAAGGTGGGGGTTAAGGTCCACCTCCTGGAAGGGGGATTATTGACATAAATTATTTGGAATTCTTCTCTAAGGAAGATTTGTCTCTTCTTCCCACTTGTTTATTCATTCAATCATTTATGTTTGTGTAGACTTGTTTATTTTATACTTTAGTTTATAATTCAAAATACTATGTTACTTGTTTAACCAATTCTCCTTTTTAAAATATTTCTTATTACGAAGTTTTTGCTATTATAAAGCCAGATGGGTGAATATCTTCTTAGAATTCTTGACATGCTGTTTTGATGGTTTTCTTTAGATATATTCCTAAAAGTAGAATTGTTGGGTAGGTACATTTAAAAGTTTTTGGGGTCCAGTCCAGTGGCGCAGCAGTTAAGTTCGCATGTTCTGCTTCGGCAGCCTGGGGTTCGCCCGTTTGGATCCTGGGTGCGGACCTATGCACTGCTGGCAAGCCATGCTGTGGGAGGCGTCCCACATATGAAGTAGAGGAAGATGGGCGCAAATGTTAGCTCAGGGCCAGTCTTCCTCAGCAAAAAGAAGCGTATTGGCAGCAGATGTTAGCTCAGGGCTAATCTTCCTCAAAAAAAGTAAAAAAAAAAAAAAGGGTTTTGGTACATGTTTCTGGGGGTGGGGTTTTTACATTGTTTTCTTTCTGGGAAGTACTCTCTAACACCCTTGAGATCTTACATCCCTCTTTTGCCGTTATGAATAGTTTATCTTTAAAGCTGGGAATTCACAACTGTTCATGCTGATTTATTTGCCTGTATAGAGTATTGTGTCAAAGAATGCATTGCAATATCGGGGAAATTCCCAGCATGACGCCCAGGAGTTTCTGCTGTGGCTTTTGGACCGAGTTCACGAAGACCTCAATCATGCTGTGAAGCAGAGTGGCCAGCCTCCTTTGAAGGTGAGGATGTGCATCCCGCTGGGGCAGTCAGGGAGTGGCTGTTTGGTGAATGGAATAAGGAGAGTGTACATTCTTCTCCCAGGGCTCCACTGAGGAGTTGTTGCAGTTCGCATTAGTTAATATAGTGAAATTGACTAAACTCTGGGTGAGTATAAAATTCGTGGATACTTAGAGGATTTTCCCATGTTTACTACTATTGGCAGTGTGAGCTACAAGAGACACTGTCTCCAGGGAGCTTCCAATCTAGTGAGAGTGGATACATTTGCCTATATGACTAGCTTTAGATAAATTTAAGTAATTCCATTTCACTAAACTGTCTTTAAAACACAAATTTGCTTTCTAAGTCCAATGAGACATGTAGCCTAGAGATCACTGGAATGAATACACGATCAAAAAGGAAACACATAGATAACTCTGCTGTTATGATTGTATTTGAGTGTAGGAAACGATCCCTTGAAAATCCTTACTGAGAAACAGTGATTCATTCTCAGTTTTTATGCCTGTAGCCTTAATATGGGTAAAATGATTTATGTTATGGAAATAATTAAAGAGTTGCCTTCTTCTTGCAACTTTTAAAGTTTTTGATAATTCTGCTCTGTACCTCAAATTTTAAATTTCTAGTTTTGGTAAGTTGTTAAATTATTCTGATTCAAGGTCCTTTTGTGCCTGAACATTCTGTCCTATCATATGACTATATGCTTGTTGCTGACCCTCCCACTAGCTTGAGATGTTCTCAGGGTCAGGCACTGTGTCTTATTTATCTTTGTATCCTAATGCCCTTTACAGCGCTGCTGCACACGGTGGCAGATGCTCAGTAACTCATTGTTAGGTGGAGGGATATGGGAAAGTTAAGTAAAATATGAAGTAGACATTAGACACCAAAATAAGCAGCTAATAGGTGCTGGAGAATTTAGACATGGGGGGAATTGGTCCTTTCGAAGTGGTTGGGATTATTTCCTGGGAGAGGTTGGAGGGGGACTTTGAGAGTTGGAGGGAGATTGGAGCATCCTTGGGAAGGAGAAGTGTATGACTGCCTGGATGGGGTGGAGAGGCAGGGGTAAGCATGGGCTATGGGAGTGCCTGTGAGGAGATGAGTCCATGGGACCCACATCCTGGCAGCTGGGTTCTGGTTCCTTTAAGCCTTTCACTGACACATCTGGACCTGACACATAGCTTATAAAGGAAGTCAATGACATTTGTGACTTTTTCAGGTTCATCTTCAGTGACTAATTGGTACTTCTAGTCTGTGAAATTATACTTTTTTTCTTTAAGCCACCATCAGAGACTGATATGATGCCTGAGGGACCATCCTTTCCTGTCTGTAGCACTTTTGTACAGGAACTTTTTCAAGCCCAGTACAGGTATGAGCAAATTAAATTTTCCCTTATGTTGTGTCCTTACATAGTTCTAGGTGATCTTACTGTGAGTGTGTTACATTTTTGTTTTTGAAGATCTTCTTTGACATGTCCTCATTGTCAGAAGCAGAGCAACACTTTTGACCCTTTCCTCTGCATTTCTTTGCCAATTCCTCTACCCCACACAAGGTAAGAACAGATTTAATAAAATTAAGACTGTATATTCCTATGTGTTCATTTTCCTCTGTAGGCTCCTCTTAGATCTTCTTACTTATTTAGACAAGTAGTGGGATTAGTGATAAATTGAATACAGGCATTTTTAAAACCTTACAGAAATTTATGAATACCTGTCTGAGTTTGCAGGGTGACCAGGTTCATGGGGCAAGCAAGTCTGTTCAGGTGGTTGTCCATCGACAGTGTGGGGGACAAGGGGAAAGGTTGTCAAGTGCCTTCTGGATTCTCTAGAGACCTTACATTGCACTTCTAATTAATTGCTTTATTTGAACTGTTTCTCACAATTTCTAGGAGTTATGCTGTTTTAAAGAAAATATAAAGCACAGAACCAAGTATTATGTTATATTTTTGTTTTATGAAAATTGCCTTTTCTGAAGATCTCTCGATTATTGTTTGATACTTCTACTTCAGGCCAACTGAAGTTTTTCCATTTGGCTTCCAAATAAAAGATGTGGGTTAGCTTCAGTTTTGTGTTGATTTCAGATCAGGTTTCTTTTGCTTCTATATTTTGGTTGAAGTAAGCGACTAATGAGAAGATCTGACTTTGATCTGTACAGGCCTCTCTATGTCACCGTAGTGTACCAAGGGAAGTGTTCTCACTGCATGAGGATTGGTGTGGCCGTGCCTCTGTCTGGGACTGTCGCTAGACTTCGGGAAGCAGTGTCCGTGGAAACAAAGATCCCCACTGATCAGGTAAGAAGCCTGCTAAAATGAAGTATGCATCAGCCGCAAAAGTGTCACTTTCTGTTCTCCTAGGATTTTTTAACACTTTTCTGCCAAATATGGTTAGATATAAATGTAAAACCAATTGTTTTTGTGTTGAGGGAAAAAAAAATCAAGACCCAAAGGAGAAAAATGTACACAACTTTTCATGCTTTGTTTAATTGTTTATATATTTTTAAAGGGAAAAGCTGTGAGTTTACAGCAAGACTTTCGTTTAGCTTTTTAGTAAAGTATAATTACTTAACCTTTTTAAAATCATTTTTATGGATGCTTATCGCTGGGATAGAGGGAGGAGCATCCTTGTGGTATTTGAGGGTCAGAGAGGCTTAGAAAACTCGGCTGGTGGCTCTTGAAAAGCCCTTCCCATTATGGTGATCAGAGTGGGCCTCCTCTTGCTAGTACAGTGCGTAATAGATGCTCACTTCAGTTTGTTTTCTGATTAAAGCTGCCTCAGTCTCTTATCTGGTTTAGATAAGAGAAAGGAAAGTTGTGTGCTACCCCTGCTTTGTGGGTAAACTTTTGATAAGTAATTATGTTTAAATTGACCCAAAATTCTTTGGCCTATTTGTGACTTGACATATTTTTGCATACATTTTTTTATTCAATTCACTATTATGATTTTATTTGGAAAAACATTCCTATTTAGGATTTACTAAAGAAAGATGATTCAGTGGCTGAATAGCTTTTCCCCAGATAGCTTCTGGATGCCTCTCTGTAATCACTTGGATAATAAAGGTGTTTTGTACTTTGGCCTCATGCGACCTCATCTGGGAGGTTACCACAGTAAAACAAATACAGCCAGCACTGTTGCCCTGATGTGTAGCAAGTATCTCATATTTTCATAGGCTAAGTACTGGCACATTGATAAAATGTTCATATTCTTCCTGACTCTGAAGAGCTCGCTGATGCTTATTCTTTCCTTCAGGATGAGGAGAACAAGAAAGAGAGAGGGAGAGAGGTGTGTGTCTAAGGCAAATCTGGTGGTATCTTTAAAGCTCCCAGGGTTGTCTGGCTCTTTTTGCATGTGGTTTAATTCAGTGATATAAGTACAAGTTTGTTTCTGTTTTTGACCTCAACTTGCTGGGGAAAGTGAGTTACACGTGATGTTCACCTGCAGAAAAACAACGTGGTCATTAAAATCATTGACGGAAAATGTTCCAGGAATATTTATCTTGGACTATTTGTGGACTATGCCCCCAGCTCCTTTCACCTCATAGACTCGTAGTGTGTTTGTGTTAGTAGAGGGGACCTCAGGGGTCCAGTCCAACCCTCTCATTTGAAAGGGGTCCAGAGAAACCATGTGACTTACTCTAGGTCACAGGGCTGGTTGGTGGCAGGCCGGGACTGGAACCTCCTCGTGCCCAGTCCAGTGCTTTTTCACTAACAATGCTGCTGAGCACGCAGTGAAGGGTCTAAATATCTCCATTGTTTTTTCCCCATCTTTTGTTTTTCTGTTTCATTGTAAAATACTCAACCGTTTCAGAAACGTAACTTAGAAAGTGAAAGTATCTCGTACTAAGTATCTTAGAACTAGGGGTTACTAACTTTAATACTATGTGGTATATTCATTCCTTTTTTTTTCTTGTGCATATACTACATTTATTATTGTGCATTATCTTGTGCATATACTAAATTTCTAAAAATGGCATTATTTACACACATTGTCGTTTACCTCGCTTCTTACTCACTTAGGAGCTCTTTCCATATTAGTGCAGATATATGTAGCTCATTCTTTGTAATAGCTTTATAATTCCGGTAGGACTGTAATATATGTAACTAGTTCCTATTGTTGGACATTTGAATTGATATCATCTTTTTTTTCTATACAAATATCCATGGTTCTTTGACATTTTTCAACCTGAAAAAAAGAAAATGTAATGATGTAGGAGAAAATTTCAGTCAGATGCAGTCTCTATCCTCGCTGTGAGACTGAAGAGTTGTGTACCCTTAGGCAAGTCACTCCCTCTCCTTAGTTTCTTCCCCCTGTGAAACAAGGCGTTAAATTTTATAGTCCCCTGGGTCTCTTGCTCACCAAAACTTAGAGGAACTCTGGATTTCCTGCCGTAGTATTCTGAAACCAGAGTATGTTGTTATACAATTATAGAGAATATTGTGCTTCTAAGATTCTCTCATCGAAGGCAAGTAATGTGGGCTCTAGGAGATGCTTCAGAGCCCTCTCAGATCACTGCGAGTCCTGATGGTCTGGAGAAGTTCATATCAGAATTGGGAGATCAATTCGTATTGCCTTTCTGGTTATCCAACTATTTACATTTTTCCCATTTTTAGATTGTGTTAACAGAAATGTACTATGATGGGTTCCATCGTTCCTTTTGTGACACAGATGACCTGGAAACAGTCCATGAAAGCGACTGCATTTTTGCCTTTGAGACTCCAGAAATATTTAGGCCTGAAGGAATTCTCAGTCAAAGAGGTAAATGAGCATCTGTTTCCAGAATTCCACCTGGATTTGCAGATTTAACAAAAGTCTACCCTTTTAGATGTCTATTATATGATGGTATAATTTTTTTTAATTGTAATAAAATACCTATAATGCTTTTTTTTTTAAATGATCGTATAAATTTTATGGTAACACATTTCCCTGGAAGAAGGCACTGTTTTAGGCAAAGTTATTTCCTTAATTTCTAAGCTTTCCTGTCCGAAGTTGGGGCAGCCCCTTTCTGAAGCTCAAGAATATGTCCTCCTGTAAGTGGCCTTATGTGGCACCTTATGACAGCACTCAGGAAGGTATAGTATGCTGTAGCTTTCTTTTGTTTGGTTTTTGCTACCAGCTTTGATGCTTAATTTCTAAATTCTAAAATCATTGCTATAGAATGTTTTCTTGATACTTGCATTTAAGAAATGTGCATGTAACTCTTCATAAATAGGCAGCAAAAGATAGTGAAACTGGACAGCGCTGATCTTGCCCTCCGTTTGGGCTGTGATTTGGAACTTAGCCTGTCTCTCCACTATGCTTGGAGGATTTCGGGGCTATTTCTGATTCTAGAGTTGCCAGGCAACTGTTCCCGGCCTTAGTGTTCTTCCTGGTTCTGGAGCTCCTGTTCTTTTTGCTCTACTCCAGCGGTTATCGAAGCATCAGTGTCACCTGGGGACTGGTTAGAAATGCAAATTCTTGGGATCCCAGCCCAGACTTTCTGAATGAGAAATGCAGGGGCAGGGGCCAGTAATCTGTTTAAACAACTGATTCTGATGCACATGAAAGTTTGAGAACTACTACTCTACCCAGCCTTATCAGTATTTTCTACTGCCATGATTTCTAGAACTAAAACCCCCACCAGCCCCCACTTGCCTTCTGGTTCCATTTCCTGACTTCCAGCTGTCCCCTAGAATCTCTGCATAGAAGTCCTACAGGCTTTTACACTCAGTGGTTCTTTCTTAGACTGGGTCCTCTTGCATTTCTTCTGTGGAATAATGGTAGCACCATCCTTCCCTTTACCCAAGCTGGGTGCCAGCGCTTCTCCCTCAAAATTCACATAGAACTGATCAATCACTCTGTGCAGTTTTCCTCTTCATCCTACTGCCATGGACACAGTTCAGACCAGAATCAGCTGGGCTTTTCTAGTAACTTCTTTACTATTATCTTCACCCCTGGGCTTTCTCCTGTTCAGTTATTTCTCCATAGTGCCACCAGGCCTGTTCTGACATACAGTTCTGATCATGTTACATGCTTATTGATTGACCAGTGGTTTCCCTTTGTGTAAGATTAAATTGAACTCCTGGGAAGAATCCTGGTTCCCCAGGATCTGGTCCTTGCCTTTCTTTCCAGCCTCTCTGCTATATGCCATCTCTTACCCCTTCCCCCCTTTCCAAGATCCTCTTTCTTTCTCAAACATACCCCATGCTTTTACCCTTTCCGTACTGTTTGCTCTGATGAAAATTTGCTTCTTCAGTTCCTGTCTCATTAGCTCCTCCTTTGTCTCCCTACGCACACATCCCCTCAATCTCCCATCCCACCCAGTCCAAGCAGCCATTATCGACTTTCTGTCTCTACAGATTTCCCTGGTCTAGACTTTCACGTGGGTGAATCATAAGTGGCCTTTTGTGACTGGCTTCTTTCACTTAGCATGTTTCAGGGTTCGTCCACATTGTAGCATGTATCTGTCCGTCATTCTTTTTTACGGCTGAATGTTATTCTGTTACGTGTATATACCACATTTTGTTTATTCCTCTATTGGTGGACATTTGGGGTGTTTCCACCTTTTGGCTATTGTGAAATATTAGTGCTATTTCACATTCATGTACAATAGTGCTGACCATCCACGTACAAGTATATGTTTGAATACCTGTTTTCAATTCTATTGGGGTATATACCTAGGAATGGAAATGCTGGGTCATATGATAATTCTATGTTTAACTTTCTGAGAAATTGCCAAACTGGTTTCCACAGCAGCTGCATCATTTTCATTCCCACCAACAATATTATGAGGGTTACAGTTTCTCCACATTCTTGACCAACATTTGTTATTTTCAGATTTTTTGATTATAGCCATCCTAGTGGGTATGAAGTTATATGTTGTTGTGGTTTTTATTTACTTTTCTGTAATGGTAAATGATGTTGATCATCTTTTCACGTGGTCATTGGCCATTTGTATATTCTCTTTAGAGAAATGTCTATTCAAGTCCTTTTTCCATTTTACAATTGGGTTGTTTGTCTTTTTCTTGTTGAGTTGTAAGAGTTCTTTGTATATCCTAAATACTAGACCCTTATCAGATATATGACTTGCAAATATTTTCTCCTGTACTGTGGGTTATCTTTTTAACTGTCTTCATAGTGTCTCTTGATGCACAAAAGTTCTTAATTGTGATGAAGTCTAATTTATCTTTTTTTCTTATGTTGCTCATGCTTTTTGTCACATCTCATGCTTTTTGTCTCATATCTAAGAATCCATTGCCAAATCCAAGGCCATGAAGATTTACCTGTATGTTTTCTTCTAGGAGGTTTTGTTTTTTTTTTTTTTTTGGTCATTTTTAACAGTTAGGTCTTTAGTCCATTTTGAGTTAGTTTTTGTAAATGGTGTGAGGTAGGGAGTTCAGCTCCATTCTTTTACATGTAAATATTCAGTAGTGTCAGCACCATTGTTGAAGAGACTATTCTTTTCTCATTGAATGTCTTAATGCCCTTGTTGAAAGTCCTTATTTTAGTTCCTCTCTTCCTTCACCTCCTATTTCCAGAAATCTCTGGTGCCTCTAGTTTCAGAACCTTTTGGTAATTCTCTATAATGGGTTGGTTAGCTTTCTCCATAGCCAGTTTAGGATTCAATTTTCTTTGGTCTACTCATGTGAGCATTATTGTCGACAGACAGTCTCTTATTTCAGTTTTCATTCTTCTTTGACCCAGGAACATTTTTTGTTTGTTTTCCAGTTGTTGCGTATTCGTGCATGTGCTTTTGTTTGTTTATTTTCTAATTTTAATTGCTTTACAGTCAAAAATACCCAATCATCACCTTATCCAGAAAGCCTTTCCCCACATACCCGACCCTGGGCTGGCTGGCTGACTCCTGCTCTTCTGTGCTCCACTCGTAACTTCTGCTAATCTCTGACTCTAGCAAGTTGTGTGGAAATGATCTGTTTTCTCCCCTGTCCTTCCACCTTACTGTGAAATTCTCTGCAGTTGTGACTACGTTTTGCTTCATCTTTCTGTACCCAGCAGTTCAGTATAGTTCCTAATATACAACAAGAGCTCAATTGATGTGTTCAACTGAGAATTTCCCCAAATCTCCCTTTGCACCCCAGTTGCTAAGAGTTAGGACTAAATTTCTATTTTTAAGTGAGTTTGGTGAGGTCCAAGGTTATCATATTATAGGCAGATAGTGCTTTTGTTGGAAGAATATACCCACTTATTGAGTATGTGTTAGCCTCTGTTCTAGAGCCTTATAAATCTTTTGTTTAATGCATATGAAACTACTACTTTCCCCACTTTACAAACATAGGAGCTGAGACTTCGAGAGGCTAAGTAACTGCCTGGGTTACCCGGCTGATAGTAAAGAGCCTACACTTTGAATGTAGAGCTTGATTTCTGTGGCATCTCCTCATCTCATTAGGGATCCTCATCGCTTTTAGAACAGTCTTCCCAGTCTTCTGCCAAGAACCTGGGAAAGGAAGTCAGGCATTGTCTCAATTCCAGACTTCTGTTATTTTTATTTTCTCACACCCAAGTTTCAAATGGCTTTGAAGTGAAATCTGCTCTTCCTTTTCTGATTTCTTCATGGTGTTTAAGCTTAAAAAATTTGCTTCCCCATAAACAAACACGTGGACAAAGAGAACAGATTAGTGGTTACCAGGGGAAAGGGGGAGTGGGGAGTGGGGACAGAGGGTAAAGGGGCGCATCTATAGTGTGACCAACAAATAATAACGTGCAACTGAAACACAAGGTTGTAAACTATCATAACCTCAATAAAAAATAAAACAGAGAAAAAGAAAGTTTGCTTCCCTCTAGAAGTTTGATGAAGATTCAGTTTTCCCTCGTTTCTAGTTTCTGTGTTCTTTCTTTAAGCTCTAATTTATCTGGAATTTATTTTGGTATTAACCATAAACTTGTCATTTTAAATTGCTGTCATGCTGGTGTACCTTAATAGGTTCAGCAAGTCTCGTATTCCTTGCTCCATGTTTAGGCTATTGCCAGAATTCTGCTCTGAATGCTTTTGTGTAAATCATTTTTTATTTTATTCTCCTTCTGGTGGTATTGTTATTTGTGTGTGTGTGTGCGCGTGCTGGTGATGGAGGGAGGTGGTGGTGTAGTGGTAGTTGAGGGCTTCCTTCTCTTCTCCTATTCAGGTATCATTTCCTTAGTCTGCATTTCCAAAGGATTAAAGAAATGAACCATTATTTAGTCAAACATTTATTGAGTTCCTCCTGAGTGCAGGGCATTGTGCTAAGGTGCTGTTGCTGAGTACGTTTGATTGACACATAGCTCTGCTTTGGGGCATTTCTAAAGACCTGGTTTTCCGCAACCAGAACGGTGCCTGTGAAACATATTTTCGTTCACTGTAATGTAGGTTGATCCAGTCTAGTGGATGGTGTTAAAGTTGACGTGGTCTATAATGGCTGTGGGTCTAGTAAATGTAGTTTAGCTTTTGTTTCTTGTAAGTCTGGCTCTTCAGGGAGAAGAAACTGCTCTTGGAATATTGAAAATCATTCCACATGTACTAGTCTTTATTTTTTATTTAAAATTATTTGCTTGTTAGTTGCATGGTTTCCCTTTAAATTTGTCTGGTAGGTTCTTTCTGCAAACTTGCCTTTCTAACACTATATCTAATATTTGCTAAGGGAACGAGTTTTAATTTCCAGTTTTTAAGATAGGTGAGGCTTGTTTAAAGGAAAAAATGGACACTAAGGAAATTATCTTGATGGCTAAATGAGTAGTCTCAAAGCAGACCATTTGTTCCTTTTTTCTGTTGCAGTTTAAATTACATAATGAAAACTTCTTAATTTCCCTATTGGGTAAATTTCTTTGTAATGAATGAATGGAAAGAATTTTGAAGAGATAAAAAAGTTGTTTTTTCATTCTGTTTCAGGAATCCACTTAAACAACAATCTGAATCACTTGAAATTTGGCTTGGATCATTGCAGGCTGTCTTCTCCTATACACACAGCAGCAAAGCAAGGGAAAGTGGACTTGCCCCCAACAAGAACAGGAACTGACAAGATTGTTCTGTTAGTGTGTAACCGAGCCTGCACTGGGCAGCAAGGGAAAAGGTAGAAACTGCTTTTTATTTTTTTAATAGATTTTTTTTTTCCTGCTTTTTCTCCCTAAACCCCTCCAGTACATAGTTGTATATTTCAGTTGTGGGTCCTTCTAGTTGTGGTATGTGGGATGCCGCCTCAGCATGGCCTGACAAGTGGTGCCATGTCTGCGCCCAGGACCCGAACCAGGGAAACCCTGGGCCACCAAAGCGGAGCACATGAACTTAACCACTCAGTCATGGGGCCAGCCAGCCCCAGTACTGAGACTTTAAACTCTAATACTTTCAAACATTTTTAAAAGTAGGGATGAAAAATCCTTATTTTTAGTAATTAATCTTTGATTCTGATATTTAGAAAGAATACATGTATAAATTGACCTGATTTGAGGGGCTGGGTGGGGGAGAATAAAATTAGAGTGAAAGAATCTGAGTTAGAAAGGCTCTTCAAGTTCATCTGGTTTTTGAAGGCTCATTTCTTATGTTTATTTTCAGCTCAGGCTCCTCTTGGGACTCCAGACCTATAGACCTATATCCAGCTACTTTCTTAACAGCTTTTTTTTTTTTTTTTAAGTTCTTAACATACCTACTTGGATGGTACGTGCACCTCAATCTTATGTCCCTAAGTGAACTCGTTATCTTTCCCTATAAACCTGGACTTCCAGTATTTCCTGTCTTAGCAGATGGCACCACTATTCATTCAGCTGCTTATGTCAGAAATCTCTCTCAAATCTGTTTCCCTTTGTAACAATTTTTGAGAGTTTAAGGCTAGCTTTTAAAGAAGCTTTATCACTGTAGTAATGTAACCTGAGTATTAACAAGATATGGATATGTTTCACAGAGAAAGGACTGTGTTTCCAGTATTTGTCAGGGTAGCATTTATATTGGCCTTTTGAAATATTGGTTGGAAATAAGTTCCTTATTTAAGGATGGTAAATAACCTAAAAGCAAAATGTGTTGATGTGTAAATTTATGATATTCATTAATAAATACTTAAGTGTTTACAGTGTGTCGGGCACTGTTCTAAACACGGGGTACAGTAGCAAACAAGACAGACAGGGTCTGTGCTCTCATGGAGCTGACATCCTAGTTAGGACAGGCTGGCTATAAACATGCGAACATGTTTACCTCCAGACGGTCGTTAGCGCCGTGAAGATACTACAACAAGCTGGTGTGATAGTGTCCTGGTACGGGGCTGGCCAAACTGTGTGAGAGAGGGGTCAGGGAAGGCGTCCCTGAGGAGGCAGCCACTGAGCCGAGCCCCAGTGAGGAGAGAGCGTGAGCCTCTGGGGGAAACGCTCCGTGGAGAGGGGACGTGAGTATAAAGATGCGGAGACTAGAAGGAGCTTAGCATGTTTGAGGGACAGAAGGAAAGGCAGCTCATCGTATTGGCATAAAATAAAGGAATTGTAGAGTCCCCTTCCTGATGCTGGTCGCTTAAAAGTAAAGATACTATGTGAAAATATGGTCAGCTGATTTACATGTGCTTATAACTTATTTCACATCACAGTCATTTTTAGACAGATAGGTTCACTGCTGAGAATTGCGAGTAAACTGATGCTTGTCAGGGATGGGTTTCTTGGTGACTTTAGCACCTCTGCTTCGGCCTGAGTCAGGGTTTGTCTGTTTCCTCATTTGTTGGTTCAGTCTTTCGTTCATTAAGCATTTACTATTTCCTAGGCAGTGGCTGTTGGGGCTGCTACGATAAATGCGTCACAGTTCCTGCTGTCGAATAACTCAGTCTATTGGTAGAGGCAGAAAAATGGACAGTCTTGGTAGCACAGTGTACTTAGTGCTGTGGTGCAGATAGCACAGGGAACAAGTCTGTAGAGTGCTTCCTGGAGAAGAATGTCTCCACTAGGTTTTCATGTGGATGAGTAGGAGATAGCCCAGAAGAGGGTGGGGAGGGTATTCCAAGCTGAGGGAACTGGCTGCACAAAGACCTGGGTGTGTGAGGAGGACACCTTCAGGGCACAGCAAGTAGGTCTGACTGACTGGGGCTTGGGTGAGAGTGAGGCTGGGCCAGTGGTCCGCCACCTTGGCTGCATATTAGAACCACCTGGGGAGGGAGCTCCTAAAAGAATCTGAGTGCTCAAGCCACATACTAGTGATTACAGCAGAATCTTGGGGGGCTGCACTTGGGCATCCTTGTTTTTTAAAGTTCCTTCAGTGATTTCAGTGTGTACCCAAAGCTGAGAACCACAGTACTGCCTCTAATTCTCTAACACCTGAGAGCCCAGCACTGGCAGGGGCCACATGGCTTCTACCCTAGGCCAGGAGCTGACTTTCTGTGTCACTGTCTTGCCAGTGCCTTCCTTGTTGTCAGACTATTGGGATATGGCCGCCTGCCTGCTAGACCTTCCAGCCCTGTCTATTCTTTTGACACCTAACCCCATATATGTTTGACCCATGCCGTGTGCCAGCCTCATGTCCAGTCGCACGTGGTTCCCTCACCATCTCCACTAGTCCTGTCCTCTTGCTACCTAATATCCTAGCATTATACTCCCCTAGAATCCATTTTGGTGTATGAGCTGTTAAATTTTATTTAAAAATCTAAGCTTCTTCTGACTGCCTTATCTACTTATGAGAGTTACTATTAAATTTCCTGTTTGTTTTGAGAACTATCCTAAAACCAATTTTATAGTGATTCCATTTAAAAAGATCGTGAATAAAGAATTACAGTATTAAAGGAATTGCCATACTTTTAAGGCAATTACAATATTTATGTGTGTTAGATTTGGACTGCCTTTTGTGCTGCACTTAGAGAAGACAATAGCATGGGACCTTCTGCAGAAGGAAATCTTGGAGAAGATGAAGTATTTCTTGAGGCCCACGGTTTGCATTCAGGTGTGTAAGCATTTTGATACTCCAGCATAGCACGCGTGTGTACCCAGTGAAGAAACAGTCATTACAGTGAAATCTGAAATTCAGACTCTGCCCTCAGGGAACACTAGGCACTGAGCTGGAATGTTGGGAAGCCCTGCGGAAAAGCTGTTTCGTAAAGTCAGCTATGTTCAGCTTTTCAAGGCTGAGGACTTATCCCTCATTGTGTGAAGGGAGCTGGCCACTGCAAGATTTTCCTTGAACTGCTGGGTATTCCTTTATAATATTTGTCTAATAAAGATCAGCACATGATTAGCTTGGAGAGATTTTTGTGGAACATCTGTCTTTATATTTCAAAATTATGATTCCTATATTAAGGTATCCATGGAAGACTTACATTAAGTTAGTGTCCAGCTGCGGTAACATATTACTTGTGCTGCATAACATATTTGGTATGTAAATTGCATTTGGGTAAATCATATTTGAAGTACATTAGAGTGGCTCCACAACCTAACAGAATTTTGCAAAACAGTTTGCTGTCCCTCTAATGTGTTTTGGAAATGCCACTGTGAAACAGATGCCCTTGAAGAGAAATTCAGTCTAATTCTCCTTTACTGTTTGACACAGGTGTGTCCATTCAGTTTGCGTGTGGTCAGTGTTGTGGGAATAACATACTTACTGCCCCAAGAGGAGCAGCCCCTGTGCCACCCAACGGTAGAAAGGTAAAAAAAAAAAAATCACCTTGTGGAATTTCATACATACTCATGTATAATATCTAGTGATGTCTGGTATAATTTCCACATAAATGTGGTAGGTTCCTCAGGCTCATTTAGAAATTCAGTACTTATTTTACTTTTTGATTCCTATTTGAGTATGATAAGTTCAATGATCTTTTTTGAAATCAGATAAGCCTGGAGGACTCATGTTAAGAAAGTAAATTCATATGTGTCCCAGGACTACAGATGAATTACACTTTCATAGTCACCAAGATTGAAGTTTTCTAAAGTAGAATTCTATTTATACCACTTGCTCCTTGAAATCCTTAAATGGTAACTTGTGTCCTAAAAGAAAAAGCCTATGTTCCACAGTGTGTGAGGTTCTCCAGTTTGAACTCTGATTACTTCCCTTTTGTCAGGCCTCGCTCTTCTTCTCCCCAGCATCTTAAACCTTCAGCAATATCAGAGTCCTGAGGACGATTTGCACGTGTGATGCTGGGTTATGTGTGTCTTTGCATGTGTGGTTTCCTCTGTTGATAAATTCCTTTCCTTTGAGTCTTTCTTTGCACTGTCCTTCCTTCCCTGCCCTCTGGTAGATTTAGTTACTCTACTCTGCCACCTCCGTGCTTTCTACATGTTTCTGTTACATGAAAACACTCTACTCTATTGATAAAAAAAAGAGAGATATGTGGGGGCTGGCCTGGTGGCGCAGCAGTTAAGTTTGCACGTTCTGCTTCAGCGGCCCGGGGTTCACCAGTTCGGATCCCAGGTGCGGACATGGCAACGCTTGTCAAGCCATGCAGTGGCAAGCGTCCCACATATAAAATAGAGGAAAATGGGCACGGATGTTAGCTCAGGGCCAGTCTTCCTCAGCAAAAAGAGGAGGATTGGCAGCAGATGTTAGCTCAGGGCTAATCTTCCTCAAAAAAAAAAAAAGAGATGTATGTGTGTGTGTATATATATGTATATATATTCACTGCACATATATGGATACATAAGTATAAAACCATTATTGTTTTTATTGTAACGATATTTTCAGCAAATATTGTAGTGTCTGCATTTTGGTAACGTTGACTATTAGTGCTGCAAGAGTTTCTCAGGAGATGGCAGTGAGCCAAGGAACTGGGGGGCTTTAGGAAGGAAGGAGGTGGAACTTGCATGGTGCCTTGCAGGGAGCACGTTGCTTAGATTGGCATGGGCATAGTCCGAGGACTAGGCATGTATATGGGGGGAGGTGGAGAGGGGCAGGAGCAGGCTTTGTTCCCAGAGGGACCGTTGTCCTGTCTCTGTTTGGGGTGGTGAGAAATGGGACAAAAAGTTGGAAAGGTCATAAAGAACATCTAGGAGTGATTGTGGGCAGCCTTATAACATGATACTGGATTTCTTCCAATCTCTGTTTCTATGTGGACATTTTAGTTTAAGGATTTTTCAGTCCAATTGTAACCTAGTTATTAAATATGACATTATAATGGCCTTGCTAGAACCATTTTCTGATGGAGAATGATGATGAAGATTTTCAGTAATCACATTGTGATTTCCAATTTCAGATATGACATAATCATATTTAAGTAAAATCCGTTTATTTAGAAAACAATGTGTGACTTCCTTCCCCTCCCCTCCCCATCCTATAGGGCATTAAAATCTTGTGGACCAGGTGGCACTGCTCATGTGAAATTAGTGGTAGAATGGGACAAGGAGACAAAAGATTTGTGAGTATTTTTTTACTTAGTGTTTATAGAGTCATTGTTTTAATGATCATTTTAGTGGTATACCTTTGATCTTTCAAATTAGCTGAAACACAAATCTCTGTTTTCTTTAGCTAAGTATCCAAGTGTAGTGCTAATCCTTTATGTAAGCAGTTTATTCTTTCTTTCCTATACATTGTGTTGTCTGGCTCCCAAACCTTAGAACATTTGTTTGCTGCTAATGAGACAGAAGCTATATATTCATTAACTACTGTATAGGTCCAGTTACTTTGATTTTTATTACAGGCCCATTAACTCTAGTAAGTTCTGTCAAATGCCCCTAGAGACAAAGGACAATAGTATATGAATTAATCAGCACAGTTGATGGCCAATCCCAGAAAAACCAGCTGCAGGTTATTTCTTGAAAATGACTTTATAGATTGAGAACTTTTCATGCACATTTAGGAACATAGAAAAGTTGGCTTACCGCTTTTGCTTTCTTATACACTCTTTTTTTATGAATTTATGGTTACATTGTGAAGTTGCGATTTTATTTTTGTGTCCGTTTTGCAAGATGGTCTCTGATAACAATGCTTTTTTTACCCCCCTAATTATAGCTTGTTTGTAAATACTGAAGATGAGTATATTCCTGATGCAGAAAGTGTCCGTCTGCAAAGGGAGCGTCATCATCAGCCTCAAACTTGCACTTTATCCCAGTGTTTCCAACTCTACACCAAAGAGGAACGGGTAAGGACTGGGCAGCATTTCTTGGGTGGGGAGGGTGGTAGGGAGGGGGGCATGGCAAGATGACAATGAAGGAACAAATTATGCTCCAAAAAGTTCTCCGGGATTTTTTCATTTACATACAGTTCTATACACATAATGGACATCTTATTATTATTCCTTTTAGGGCTTTAACAAAAAGTAGTGTAAGTTTCCAGAAAACCTTGATTAACTGAAATGCTCTAGAAATGAACCTTTCTAGTTAATTCTTTTTTTCCTTTTTGGATAAATTGATAAATTTTTGATAAATTTTGATAAATTTATATTATGTTTCAATTTAGAGATTTAAAATTATTTTCCTTAGTAACTAGACCAGTGAGTCTCAACTTTTTTGGTGCTAGGGACATAGGTGGTAGGAGCTATTTAAAATTTAAACTTAATTAAAGTTAAAAATCCAGTTCCTTAGTTTTGTTATTCACATTTTGAGTGCTCAATAGACACACGTGGTTAGTGGCTCTCGTGTTGGACAGTGCAGATATAGACAGAAAGTTCTACTGGACAGCATGCTCTGGACCACTTAGCACAGTGCTTTGCAGGTAGTAGGGACTCAGTAAATATTTGACTGAAATGATGGACGGATAGATGGATAAATGTCTCTGTGGATGGGGCCCAGGCTTAGGCTTTAAAACTCTCCCAATTGATACACTTTGAGAAACCTTGACTAGACCACATGGAGTTTATCCAATTTTTTTTTTTAAAGATTGGCACCTGAGCTAACAACTGTTACCAATCTTCTTTTTTTTTTTTCCTGCTTTTTCTCCCCAAGTCCCCCCAGTACGTAGTTGTACATTTTACTTGTGGGTCCTTCTAATTGTGGCATGTGGGACGCTGCCTCAGTGTGGCCTGATGAGTGGTGCCATGTCTCCACCCAGGATCCAAACCAGCGAAACCCTGGGCCGGCGCAGAGGAGCTTGCGAACTTAACCACTCGGCCACGGGGCTGGCCCCTATCCAATCTTGAGTTGATGTTTAGGACCATAATTTTAACCACCAATTGTTACTGCTCACTTTTTTTTTTAATTTTTAATTTTTTATATTTTTTTGAGGAACATTAGCCCTGAGCTGTTCATAGCTAGTTCCTTTAATAATTTTTCATAAGACATCTTTTTTCAGTTTGGGGCTTATATAAAATAGTTGGCTTTGAAACTGGTTGATTACATCCTCTGTGTAGCACCTTATCCTATTTCACTTTTTAAAAATTGATTTGGCAGATGTTTGAAAATGTCACAAAGGCTAAAAGTGAGCAGATCTAATAGATGGCAGCATTCGTATTCTATAAAACATCCCACTGATCTAGGGGGATGATGCGTTTTAGTAGGGACTCACTCGTTCCGTAGATGTTTATCGAGCACATACTACGTGCTGGGTACTGCAGATAGAGAAGGGAACAAGACAGCTGCCGTTTCTGCCCTCAGGCTCTTTACAGTCTAGTGGGGATAAACAAGTAAATAAAGGAAGCAAAGGCCCTGGGGTGGGAAGGCACTTGGCATGGTTCTAGCAGTGCCTGGCACATAGAAAACATCTAATAAATTTAGACTGGAATGAATGAATGAATGAGTGTTACTTGGGAGGGTCAGTCACTGGGTCCAAAAATAACAGTACAAACATAGAAGGGGAGAAGGGGAGACTTCGCAGTAGGCCGTGTGGCAATAACTTGAGGGTCTAGTTGTCTGCGAGCTCAGTATTGACCAGCAGTGTTGTGTGGGTGTCAGCCACTGTCATGCTACCTTAGGAGTCCTGTCCAGCGCTCAGATGATGATAGTGCTGCTCTTTTCAGTACTTAAATGTTCGCTGTTAGGAGACTGACAAACTGGGGCACAGGCAGAGAGAGTGGATAAGGAACGGTGCATCTGGAAATCAGGACTCACTGCATGTACTGTGACAAAGGAGGCCTTCAGTGGGGATCCGATAGTTACTTGCAGGCGCCTGAAGGACTGTCTGTGGATGAGAGATTGGGCTTAATTTTTTCTAAAAAGCAGAACTTAAAGATTGGAAATTACAGGGAGAGATTTTGTCTTAATATGAAGAAGGACTTGGTTACAGACTATGAAAATGGAGTAGCTGCCTCCTGAGATAGCTCCCCTTCATTTGCTAGGCAGAGTTAGCTAGACCAGCGATGCTCAAAGTGTGGTCTGTGGGTCTGGGAGCTCTTTTTAACAGTTTACAACAAGATAAGTACAAAAATCAGAGAAGTGTTTTAGAAACCATCAGAGCTGTCAGACATTGTCATGACATTCTTATTGCATCTTAGAAAAGTGTGTGTTTGTAATGTATTGGAAATTGAAAATAAATAACAGCCTGCTCCTTTACCAGAAGCACTGGGCTGGATGGCCACGTTTGTAGACTATTATGTCACACAGATGTGGACTTAGGAGATGACAGTTTAGGTCCCTTCAGTCTAACTTTCTGATTCACTTTCATCCACCCAAACTTCTGTCCCTCCCACCTTTCCTACAAACATGACTGGGTCCCCCTGTCTTGAAAGAAAATTCTTCCATTCTGCTTCCCTTTTAAATTACCTCGCCAGTGTTTCTCTTCCTCTTTTCTGCCTAACTTCACCGTTAGTGGTTTCAGCTCTTTTCCCGTCCTCTCTCCTTCCTTTCCAAACCTTGTGTCGTCTCTCTGACTTGCATTTCTGACACTGCTCTCTGAAGTTCTCAGTGGCCCCTCGTTTCCTCGTTTCCTCATGGCCTCTGCTCAGTCTGCTTTTAACCTCTGCATAGGATGTGGTGCTGATAACCATCCTGTTCTCGCCACTCTGTTTTCTTAGTATGCATAAAAGGGAATGCTTCTGATGTGCCTGTTTTTCTGCCTATGCACCCTCAGGTTCTCGTGGTTTCTCAACTTTTGTATTTCCCTTAGAAACAGGCATTCCCCAAGATTCTATTCTTGGCTTCTTTCTTTCTCTTCCATCATGGTGGACATTGCCATCCATTCCCAATGCTTCCTTTACCTCATCAGGTTGATGGTTTCAGATCTAATGCATCTTCTAAACTCCAGAGTGGCTTTTTAAAATCTCTCACCAGACATGCCTATTGGTACCTCTAAAATGTGTGCCCATCCTGAAACCCTTCCCTACAGAGATGACATGCGTGGATTTGAGGCCTGAGATTGACATTTAGAAAGGTCTTGTTGACAGCAGGAGGGGGAGGAGTGTTGGGGCAGTTCAGTGCTTGGGGGAGAGAGAACAGTTAAGACACTTGAAGAAGTCCAGGTAAGAGAATGAGCGAGGACTAAATTAAGGCAGTGTTAGTGGGATTGGAGAGGAGGAAACAGGTATCAGAAATGGCAGAGAGTATTACTTTGGATGGATGTGGAGCAGGAGGAAGAGGACAGAGTTTGAGGGTTTGGGATAACTACCTGTGTTCTGCTTGTGGTGGGTGGTAGTGGTATTTGCTGAGGTGGGACATACAGAAGGAAGAGAAAGGGGAACTATATTGATGGAAAGGCAGTGAGTTAGTTTGGGAGTATGCTGAGTGTGAGGTGCTTCTGTGCATTTAACATCCTCTTTGTAAATATTTACCTATTTAGTCATTCCTTTTTGAGAGGTAACCTATTCAGCAAACATCTGGGTGCCAACTCTGCCCAGGTGCCACTTTTGATTGTGTTTTCCATTGACTCCATCATATGTAGTTTCCAGAGAGAATCTGAGTTGACCGTGCCCTGGCCAGGAAGTGCGTCCAGCTGTCTCCTGTAAGAAAGTCTTGCCTAAAGTGGCACTTAACGGAAGTCGTGCTCCTTGTTTTCAGCTTGCCCCGGATGACGCCTGGCGTTGCCCACACTGTAAGCAGCTGCAGCAGGGGAGCATTACGTTAAGCCTCTGGACCCTGCCTGATGTGCTTATTATACATCTAAAGAGATTTCGACAGGTAAGGAAATCCTCTGTCATAGGCAAAAAGGCTGTGACCAAGTTTCTTATGCCCCCTGCTGGTGGGCTGTGTGGGGTTCTTTGGTGTCCCTGCCTGATCCAGTGGTTTGTCTGTGTTGTTAGAAACACATCTCTCTGCCCCTGTGTTTGGGGTCATGTTTTGTTCTTTCCCAAAGCAACATTTGGGCTCCTGTGACTCTAAATCCTAAACATTTTAGTTCATACTGCAGATATTTTACTTGTTCTTGAGGGTTTGCTTTAGGTTTGTAAATGTTGTGCTTAGGTAAGTGTACTTTGGGATTAAAAAAAAAGTAGAGCTCCTTTCTGTGAGTGCGTAGAATTCTATTTCTACCTAAAGTAATAACAGCTGTCGACCTGCTCCCAAGGAGCTGTTGTGTAGTTGGGGAGATGAGTCATAAATATATACAAAGAAGATCTGCTTTGAGTTGCATGGCTTTGTGAGTCAGTTTTTCCAAAAAGCCTGTCTATTCCCTAAAGATAGGGCTATCCTGGGCAGCCCCATTGTAAGAGAGGTGCATGGGAGGTAAATGTTACATGAGTCTCTGAGGCCCGGCTTTCGCAGGGTTTGTATCTGAAGGATTAAGAGTAGGCTTTTACCAGGCGAGGAGGAAGCAGGGCTGCACATGCGTAGTGGCAGAGGGAGCAGTGGGTGCAAAGCATGTACAGGAGGCTGCACGTAGGCCCACTTGGCTGGAGCTCCAGAGGGTGGGAGAAAGGAGTGAGGGGAGGTAGAAGAGGTGGGCAGGGGCTGGTCATCCAAGCAGACCTTGTCGGCAGGGTGGGATTCTGATGAGGGTTTTAAGCAAAGAAGCAGGATGACCAAATTTGTGTTTTGAAGAGACCGTTCAGCCTGCTGTGTGAGACTTAGAGGCCACAAGAATGAAGACAGGGAGATCTGAAGGAGGCCATTGTGGTCATCCATGTGGGAGGGATGCTCCTGGCTTGGAATAGAGTTGTGGCAGTGGAGGTGGAGAGACCTGAATAGATTTGAGAGATGCTTGGGACTTGCTGATGACGTGAAGGTGTCAGAGGTGGCACGCATATGGTCTCCAGGGCTGGGGCTTTCACACACAGGTTTGGGGTCCAGCTCCTGTAGTAGTCAAGAATGGGCATTTGCTTTGAGTGTCCCAACTGCATATTTCCACTGGGATCCACAGGTGGATGGCTGGTTGAGGGTTTAGACCCCAGCCTTCCCTGTCTCCTTCCACACACACATTTTCCCTTTGCTTTCTGTTTCTTTTGAAGGCATATCGTCACCGTTCCAGCACCCCAGACTCAAACTGCAGTGTCATCTTTGACTCTTCTTTCTTGTCACTCTCATCTAGGCAGTCACCTCTTCAGCTTGGTTGTGCCTCTCCGTTCATTGACTTCTGTTTGTGTCTCTTTCTCCCCGTTCTTGCTGTGACCTGCCAGTTCAGACTTGTCATACTTTCCAGCTGGTTGCGTTTGCAGTGTGTTCTGATTGGTCTCTTAACCTACAGTACTCTTTCCTTTCTTCCATGTGTTGTGCACACGCATGCGGCTCTCCACTCACAACTCTGACTACATCACCTCCTCCCTCAAAGCCTGGCTGCTTCCCTCTTGACTACGGAACAGGATCCAGTTCTTTAGCCTGACCTTCCTGACCATCCAGGGCCCACCCTACCTCTCTCGTGAAAATTTTTCTTCTCTTAGTAGATCATAGCTCCTTGGAGTGGGCATTATCCATGCCCAGTTAATTTTTTTAAAGCTCCATAGACGCAGGAAACAGTCAGTAAATATCTATTCAACTGATGATTGGATTTCAAAGGATTTCCCAGTGGGCTTAATGAAAAATACAGATTACCCAAGATTGTCAGCTAAATGAATAGATTAAGCTAAGTCACTGTTAACTTAATGTCCTTGCTGGAGGAGCTGGGGAGGAAAGAGGCACTGCTTACTGAATGGCTGTTCTAGGCCAGCTCTGTGCTTTGCCCTTCACGTGTCTTATTACTCTGTTGCTTGCCACGCATGTCTCTGTGACAAGTGTCAGGATGAATCACCTGAAATTGTCATTTTGTGAGTCAAAAACCTAAAAACTCTTCATCAGATAAGGAAATGAAGACCCAGAGAGGCTCGTTACCCCTTATATGTAGATCCTTGTTGATTCCATTTTTGGTGACGTTAAAACCTGTTCCTCCAGATAGTTAAAACTGTTAGTCTGTTTCCTTATTTTGTATGTGTCTTGGGAAACATCAGATAGGTAATTCTAACCCACTTCAGCTGATAGAGTCTGCATTCCACGCTAAACTGATCTACCATCTGCTTGTGTGAAAATATCATCAGAACTTGTTTTTCTTCTTTCTTCTTGCAACAGGAAGGAGACAGGCGTATGAAACTTCAGAACATGGTCAAGTTCCCCTTGACTGGCCTGGACATGACACCTCATGTGGTTAAGAGGAGCCAGAGCAGCTGGAGTTTGCCATCCCATTGGTCTCCGTGGAGACGTCCCTATGGACTCGGGAGGGATCCTGAGGACTACATCTATGACCTGTATGCTGTGTGCAATCATCATGGCACCATGCAAGGGGGGCACTACACAGGTCTGCAGTGCGAGAGGCTGGGTGTCTGTGCTGACCATTCCTTCAGATGTGTTTTGCTTGTGACAGGATCACTTTGCTTTAGAACCTCACTTTCTCTTCCAGTAGGCGGAATGCCAACTATGAGGGCAGTTTTCATCCTCTGGATCTCCGTCCAAGAACAGAGAAACGGAATTCTTCCCCTTATCCTGAGTGGGACCATCCGGTGGTTGTCTGACCTGATCGGGCAATGGTGTGTGCAGAGAGAGAGCGTCGTCTGGGTCGCTGCAGACTTGTGTTTCTCTCTCCTGCACTTCTTAGTTAACGTTTCGATCCACTTCCTCGAGGTTCTAGCTTCTCCCTTGTTTGAAGTGATTGTGAACCACTTTTATAGTATCTTTAAAGCGACTTGGAAGAGTGTTTCTTTTTCTTTTAAGGTTGAATTTACTTTTTCATTTGTAAAAGCAGCAGTGCTCATTGACTAGAGAGAGTTGGAAAGAACAGTGCTGTCATCCCTGGGTTTATCCCTCAAAAATAACCACTGGCAACATTTTGAAAAATTGTGGTAAAGTATACGTAGCAAAATTTACCATTATAACCATTTTTAAGTATACAGTTAAGCATCATTAAGCACGTTTACATCTTTGTGCAACCGTCACCACTATCCAGCTCTAAAACTTTTTTTATCTTCTCAAATTGATACTTCATATCCATTAAACAATAACTCCCATTGCCCCCTCCCCCTATCCCCTGGCAGCCACCATTCTTTATGTCTCTATGAATTTGACTACTCTAGATACTGCCGATAAATGGAATCATATAGAATGTGTCCTTTTGTGACTGGCTTATTTCACTTGGCATAATGTCTTTAAGATTCACCCACGTTATGTCAGAATTTCCTTTTTTAAGGCTGAATAATATCTCATTGTATGTAGGTAACATTTTGATGTCTGGTGTTTCCTTCCAGTGTTTCTCCGTAGGTTTTTGCCATTATTTTACACGTGTGATTATACTGGCATGTTGGGTTTAGGTGAACATTTCCAGAGCACCTCCTCTATAGCTTACACTGGGTTGTACCATATGAGAGGCACATTGGAAACGAACAGGTCCCAACCTCTACCTTCCAAGAGTGTAATCAAGGAGGGGGATGTGGGTACAAATGAAATGAAGGAGGAGTGACGTGTAATAGGTTCTGTGTGGAAGTGTGAACAGTGGTAGAGTAGGGGGCCAGAGGAGACAGTGGTCAGAGCACTCTCTTCCTGGAGGGACAGGAGGAGCAGCCTGCTGCCTGCAGTGAGGACCTTAGGGGCTAATGTGGGAGATGCTTGATTTTCATAAACACTGTTTTTAATGACCACAGAATATTCTGTTGATAGAACTCTGACTTTATATAACCGTTCCCCATTGTTGAATACATGTATTGTTTCTGGTTTTTAACTTTGCATATAGTGCTAATGAACATCTCTGTGCATATTTGTATCTTCTGTATTTTAGTTCTGTGTTTCAGTGAGATCGAGTTTCAGAAATAGAATTATTGAGTTAAGGGCATACCGGGACGTGGGGGAGGCAGGTAGATTTGGGGGTTCTTACTTGGACACCCGAGTATGTGGAGTTGATGTGAGGGAATCACTGTTAATTTAGCTGTCTGTATGGGAGGCCAGGACTCGGGTTTCTGCATTCTTCATGCTCAGCATATTTGGCATGTATGCTTCTCAGGGACTTTTTTCCTTCATTAATTCAGTGGTTTCTGCAACAAGACTCCAGGGTGCTAGTGATTCGTAAAGATCGGGGGAGGTGGAGGAGGGTGGGCTCTTCCAGTTGGTATTTCAGTCTCTGAGGCTCTTCCCTCGCAGTTAGCCCCGAGACCTCCACCACCAAGGTAAAGGAGCCCGTCAAGCCCCCAACCCCGCGTCAGCCCAGCACACCCTCTAACCTCTCCCCACGGGAGGTGGGGGATGCAGAGCGTCACTGGATACGATAATCTTTTATTTTTGAAACCCTTCCAGTTCAAGTTCTGCAATATGTAGATGCTGCCAGCAACAATTGTTTGTGAGAGGAATGATCCCAACTTTGTGTCTCATAGTGGAGCAGTGTGGATTGCCTCTGCTTGCCCTAGGAAGCACTGTCAAGGAGGAAGAGGAGATAGAGAAGCTCAAAAGATCCTCTCAGTCCATAGAAGACAAAGTTAATATTAATTAAATGTTTAAATGTATTTCACCTTGTCTTTTCATTTAAAGCAAATTTAAATTCTGATAATAGTATATTTTGTGTCTTGCATATTTTATATTTATATTTTTTGGGGGCCACTTGTATAATAAATGTTGTGTGTCTAGCTGGATCTTTGCTTTTGTGGCATTACTAGTCATATCTGTGTTCTTTGAGACTGAGTCATAGAGTTATATACTCATGGACTCTTAGAAGTGAGAGATTTAGAAGTAATTTAATTTCACTCATTAGCTGGTGTAGTAATGCCTTTGCTGGCTGGAGTCCCTGGTTGGTGTTCTTCCACCTTCAGCCTGGGTAAAGAATGCATCTTCCATGTATAACGCTGTTTCTCAGGAAAATATGCACTGGCGTGTTGTGTAGTTTCTGGCAAGAAATTGTTGAGAAAAATAGGACAGTGCTAGGTTTTAACTATCACGTTGCTCTTTATGTAGAATAGACTGGAAAATCTCTGAAAACCCACAACTACCTTGGAGGCAGGACAAGTTGGGGAGAGAAGCTTGGGTTAGAAGCTGCACACACCTTCCTAGCTCCGTGACCCCAGGCGAGGAACCTTACTCTAACTTGGCGACCACGTTAGTGAGCCAGAAGGGGTCATGCCTGCCTCACGGGGCCTGGCATGTTGCCCCTTACACTTCTGCTCCCACTCTCCCTCCAGAAATAGCAGCCACCTCACCAGCTGGGTCAGCGATCCGTCAAGCCTGACTCGCCACCATTGACCAAACAGTCGCTGTTGTACTAGCTCCATTTGCTGCTTGTATCTCCGTTTCTCTCCCTTTCTAGTTCTAGGGAGGCCATAGCTGCACATGACTTTCCTCCCTACAATCGTAGGCTCGTATTCTGCTCTTCTTATTCGGGACCTGTCTGGTATGGTCCTTCCTTTCCTGGCTCCCTTTCCTCTCTTAGGGTTCCATACTTGCAGAAGTGCTTGGGGCCTATTGAAGGGGTCACTCGTGGTGCCTCTCAGGACCTTATGTGCCCTGCCCCTGGGGCCATGGTGAGTCTCTTCTAGCATTCAGCTAAATATTCTAGTGCTCATTTATTCTCAGCCCAGTAAATGGGTATTTTAGAAAGTAGGATAAGCATGTACCTTTCTAGATCAAGCTTATCATGCCCTGTGATATATCCTTATAGGATGATGTGGCTTCATGAACACTAAGTTGTCTGTTCTTGCTGGTACTTGGATGCTCTTTATTTCTATCTCAGGCTCAGAACTTGGCCTAGAGAGAAGGCCACGTGCATTGATGAACTCAAATGTTCTCAGTTTGCCAGGGGACTTCCATGGGGCATCATTGGTGCCACCCCTGGGGGAGGCAGGGTAGGGTAGGGGTAAGTGCATGCTCAGAGTCTAGATAATCTGAAATGAGCTGTGCCCTGGCCTTCACCAGCTGTGTGACCTTGGGCAAGCTGGTTCATGTTTTTGAGCCTCTGTAAAATGGGAATAATGATAGAACAAGTCTCATAGGACTAAATGAGATACTGGGCACATGATAAGTAGTAAACAAACATTAGCTGCTGCTGTTACTGATATTATTTCTAGTTCTCTTATTTTCTATCTCTTTTAACAAACACTAAAATGTTATGACATACTTAAATCAGGATATCTCAACTCTGGCACTGTTAACATTCTTACTGGATAATTCTGCATTGTGAGGCTGTCCTGTGCTTGGTAGGATGTTCAGCAGCATCCCTGGTCTCTACCCGCTAGATGCCAGTAGCATCATCCCCCCATTTGTGATAATCAGAAATGTCTCCATTCATTACCAGATATCCCCTGGAGGGCAAAATCATCCTGGCTGAGACCCACTGGTTTAACTAAATAAGGATATTGTGTTTTCTAAGATTAAATAGAATTTCATCTATTTGGACTAGTTTGGAATTTCTTGAAACATTTTGCCTGAGTGTGATATGGGATTTGGAATTCTTACTTCTTTCTGTGTTACTACATACAGTCTTACAAAGTTCTTGAATTAATTATACGAGCCAGAGAAGTGGGGTGTGTGGGTGGAGTGGAGCGGCTCGCGCAGCCATCCTTGTGCTGACGGGGGGCTCTTTTGGCAGCGCACTGTAAGAACTCCGTGGACGGCCTCTGGTACTGCTTCGACGACAGCGATGTGCAGCCGCTGTCAGAAGAGGAGGTCTGCACGCAGACGGCCTACATCCTCTTCTACCAGAGGCGGACGGCTATACCGTCGTGGTCGGCCAACAGCTCAGTGGCAGGTAAGGCTGGCTCTCTTCTTGGGCAGTTTTTTCCAGAGCAGAAGATTATAATTAATGGTGCAGAGAACTTCTCCAGAAAGTCTCATGACTCTGTCAGTTTGGTCAGATTAGTTCTTACATTTGCATTTAATCTGGAAACCAAGATGATTGCAATCAAGGAAATGGAGTGGAGTGTGTGGGCAGCAGAGTTCACATGGAGGTGGAGTAGAGCCTGGCTCAAAGTAAGCTCAGGATATTTCCTTGTGGAATAAGTAAATGAATGAATGAGCTAAAAGCAGCAGGGCATGCTCCTCTAAGAGAGGAGGGAACAAGGGATCTGGAACTGGAATGGAGACTTGGCTTTGCCACATTCTGGTTGGGCTATCTTGGAGCACCTCCCATCTGAGCCACGTATTTATCATCTGTGATATGGGTATCATAACAGTGCCTACCTCATGGGGTGGTGTACTCGTCAGATGAGGAAAATGTACATTACAGCCTTTTCTAAAGGGTAAAGCACCATTAGAAATAGTTCTTTTTTCCAGAAAGAGTGGCCTCTTCTGTTAGGGGAAGCGTTGAAGGCTATAATAATATTAGATAGATTGGGTTTAGCCTGATGGGATCTAGTCTGTTGTGTTTAATAAATGCAGGAACCCATACCTACACCCAAGATGGATGGATCCACACACAATCCAAACAAGGGGGCGCATGCTTCTTAATGCGGAGGTTAAAAGAATATGACAGAGGACTGGGGCGTGGTCAGGTGTGCTCAGGGTAGGGAATATTAATCCCTGCTCCCCTTGAAGCTCTCAAGGGCTAAGTTTGAAGCCACTAAAGGGAAGCATCACTGAAGCAGAGTGACCCCCTGCTGAAGTCAGACCCCCACCCAGTACCCCTGTCTGTCTGTAGCGCTCACTCTGGTAACAGCAAGCGGGAACCCAGTACTCTAATGCTCTCCCACAGTGCTTTCCCGAGTCTGAGAGAGGCTCAGAAATTACACCCTCTTGAGGTCTACTTGAGTCCTGTTCTTAATTTCAAGAGCAGCTTCTGTTGCTCTAATTATACGTACGGGCATCCTTGGAACAGACAGGACAGACTGACATACAGCCCTGTGTGTGCGTGTGTGTGTGTTAATATTGTGAAAATGATTTTAAAATGCCACAAAACAGTGAGGCTAAGGAAATAACAACACACTACCCCTCTCTTTATTTTCTTTCTCTGTGTCAGAAATATTACTGTGAGTGCTTAGAACAGTGCCTGGCATGTAGGTGCTTACTACATTTTTATAGAATGAATGAATAAATGAATGATGGACTATATTCCATTCTGTTGCCAGCACTGAAGACTTGGACTTTGCTTTATCAAGTGTCCATCCTTGTGCTTGTATTTTATTACTGCAAATGTGTGCGGGAACCTGCCCTCCGTATTAAGTTTTGCATCTTAACGGGGGTTATTTGAGCAGACACAGTGTGGAGTCTGGGAGTTCATGCTGTCCTGGTGGTGAGGACACCAGCCGCCCGCCAGCTCAGGCGGCAGTGCCTTCCTGTGAGTGTGTGCAGTGCAGGCCAGCCCTGGGATTCTGGCCTGACCTCAACGGCAGCTTCCTTTTCCGCAGGCTCCACAAGCTCTTCCTTGTGTGAACACTGGGTGAGCCGGCTCCCAGGGAGCAAGCAAGCCAGCGTGACCTCTGCAGCTTCTTCCAGACGCACCTCCCTGGCCTCGCTGTCTGAGTCCGTGGAAATGACCGGGGAAAGGAGTGAAGACGATGGTAGGTGTGGGTTTTGGTCACAGATTTCCAAAATGGCAACTCATGGACACAGCAGAGAGTCCCTCATGTTTAGGAACAAGTCCCAAGAAGATTGTAGGAGAACGTAAAAGGGGTTTCAGAGAGTGGGGCTCCATAGCTGTGGGTTATGATCCTAAGTAACATTTGATAAAACGGGGGCATTTGCTTTTCCTCGCGCCCTAGGACTTTTCCTTCCACTTTATTATTTTCCACTCTTAAGGTCTAGTGTGCAGGCTGGAGCTAACTGTATAGTAGTGTATACGTTTCTTTTCAAAGTGCTTTTTAAGATCCTCAAAATAGCTGTAAGGGGACTCCGTGAGGTTGTGATTAGCCCAGGGCCACCTGGTGAAGAGTCGCTGTGCTGGGCCTGGTATGGAGGCTCCCTGACTCTCAGCTGCTCACCTTTAGAGGAATTTGTGGCATATTCTTTTAAGTACAGCATCTAGGACAAAAACTGTCGCCTCTGCATAAAAGTAATTCTCAGGGATTCTGAAGATAGTCGTAATATGAAAACTTTGAAAATCTGATAAAAATTGACCTCTTTTAAAAAAATTTTTTTTTTACCTTCAACTTACTGCTTGAGTAATGGCCTCTCGGCCCTTAGTTCTAACGGGGCCCCCAGGTGGTGTGGGAAGGATCAGGCAGCCAAAGCACCGAGAGCTGGGAGGAGAGAATGAGCTCAGTTTCTATAATGAGAACGATGACTCATCTTCCAACAAATCTCATTCTGTGGCCAGCATTTCGATCGCTGTAATCTGCTTCTAGTGGTGATGGGTAATTCTGAGAACATGAAATGGAGGAAAAAAGCAGGAGGTTGGAAGAAGGATGCCAGACTAAGAGGTCTGTGTCGTAGCTCTGGCTCTGCCACTTCTTCTAGCTTCTTGCTTTTCTCTTTGTAAAATAAGAGTATTAGGCCATAATTGCTAAGCTCCTCACATTTTATGAAAAACTGAGCAGTGCATCTTTGCTTGTTTAGGTAGAGGTTATTTGCAGCACAGCCTTTAAACTTAGAATTTACTGCTGTTTTAACAATAAGCCTAGACATTGTTTGCCCCCAATCTATTTTTAAACAGTGCAGTTGGTGAAATCAATATCCTCTTAAGCATCCTCGTCGTACAGTGATGCTGGGCGGTGCCCAGAGAACAGTGCTTATCTCGTACGATCTCATCCAGACACAGTTGTATAAATACCACAGCTTTGGTGTCAAGTATGTATAGAATTTAATTTAAAATATTTTCTTTGGAAGTTTTAAGTGATTCAAAATAGGAGTATATTGTAATTATCAATATTTTCTGTGAAAGTTTTAAGTCACTCAGGGTGGGAGTATATTATCGCAATTATGAATATTGTCTTTGAAAGTTTTAAGTCACTCTGCATAGGGGTACATTGTTTCGAAGTCTCTTTAGTTCTTCCCACTAGTCCACTTGGATAATCAGCGATTGCAGGCCAACCTCCATGTGGCACTGAGTGCGGGACAAGCGGTTGTGGTTCTGGTGTTAGCACTGCCTCTAATGTCTCTGTAATCACGGGCAGGACTTCACTGCGGTGAGCCCTGGATGTCCTTAGTAAGAGGAAGAAGGTGGGTCAGTAGTTCACCTTTATTCAGCATCTGTGAATGCCAGGTGCCTTGCTGGGCATAAGACTTTCAAGATTTTAGTTAATTCTCAGAGTAGCCGTGTGAGTCAGGACAGGGGTCAGCACACTGCACCCCACAGGCCAAACATGGCCCCTGCCTTTGTTTGTGAATCAAGTTTTACTGGAACCCAGTCACACCCATGTGTTTCTGTGTCCCCTGTGGCTGTATTGGTGCTACAGTGACAGAGTTAGGTAGCTAGCCCACAAGTCTAAAATATTTACCATCTGGGCCTTTACAGGAAAAGTCTGCTGACCCCTGACGTAGAGTAAGAAGGTAAAGAGAGAGTGTGGCAACCCCTAGGTTAGAATGTCCCTGTCTTATAGATAAGCGAACTGGGCTCAGGACAGTACAAGTCATATGGCCACACTTTAACCCCAGACGTGCTGGCTCTGAACGCCATGCTTCTCTCATACCACGAGTTTTGCCTGCCTTCCATGTTCCTTCCATCTTTAGATGTTACGGGCAAGTTTTGTCATTTAGCTTAACAAAATTCTCTTTGCTGTATTCAGGAGGTTTCTCAACTCGACCGTTCGTGAGAAGTGTCCAGCGTCAGAGCTTGTCGTCCAGATCTTCTGTCACCAGCCCCTTGGCCGTCACTGAAAATTGCATTCGACCTTCTTGGTCCCTGTCTGCTAAGCTGCAGATGCGCTCCAATTCTCCTTCCCGATTCTCAGGGGACTCTCCGATTCACACCTCCGCCTCCACCTTGGAGAAGATCGGGGAGGCAGTGGACGACAAGGTCTCCATCTCTTGCTTTGGTAGCTTGAGGAACCTTTCCAGCAGTTACCAGGAGCCAAGCGATAGTCACAGTCGACGTGAGCACAAGGCTGTGGGTCGGGCCCCTCTGGCTGTCATGGAAAGTGTGTTCAAGGACGAATCAGACACCCGCAAATTGAACTCCAGTGTTGTAGATGCACAGAGCAAAAACTCAGCACAAGGGGATCGTGTGCCCCCCATCTCTGATCCTTTTGATAACAATAACCAGATTGCTTATGTGGATCAGAGTGATTCTGTAGACAGCTCTCCAGTCAAAGAGGTGAAACCCCCCAGCCACCCAGGCTCCCTCACGAAGAAACCAGAGAGCACAACCAAGAGATCCCCCAGCTCCAAAGGCGCTTCTGAGCCAGATAGAGGTGTGCGGAAGGGGAGACCAGTGTTGGCAAGCCAGGAATCATCGCTTTCAAGTACGTCCCCTTCTTCTCCTGTTCCTGTGAAAGTTTCTGTAAAGCCCTCCCGCTCCCGAAGCAAAGCAGACTCCTCTTCCAGGGCCAGTGGACGCCATTCCTCCCCTGTCCCCGCCCAACCCAAAAAAGAGTCTTCCCCCAAATGCCAGGACTCCGCGTCATCTCCTTCACCCCAGAAGCAGAAGTCGGCCCCTGCTCTCACGTGCACTGTTTCCTCCACGTCTGCCAAAAAAGCCTCAGGCCCTGCCTCAAGGGGCCCCTTCCCTCCTGGGAAGGGCAGGACTTCAGACAGGAGCTTAAGTAGAGAGGGCTCCAGACAAAGCCTGGCTTCCGACAGAGCCAGCATAGCCTCCAGCTCCAAACCCAACTCCCCAAGGGTGAGCCAGGCCAGGGTGGGGGAGGGCCGAGGGGACGGGAAACATGTCAGGAGCTCTTCCATGGCCAGCCTGCGCTCCCCCAACACGAGCATGAAGGCCGGTCTGAAGAGGGACAGCAAGTCGGAGGACAAGGGGCTGTCCTTCTTCAAGTCAGCCTTGAGACAGAAGGAAACTCGGCGGTCGACTGATCTTGGCAAGACAACCTTGCTCTCCAAGAAGGCCAGCGGGAGCTCTGTCAAGTCGGCCTGTAAGAATGCCATGGATGACAAGGCAGAGAAAGGCTACCAGGCTCCAGGTTCCCAGCAGCCGAGTGCAAACGCAGTTGGAAAAGAGCAGCTTGTCTCCAAGGACCCTGCTTCTGCTAAACATTCCCTGCTGTCCGCTCGCAAGTCCAAGTCTTCCCAGCTAGATTCTGGAGTGCCCTCGTCTCCTGGAGGCAGGCAGTCTGCTGAGAAGTCTTCAAAAAAGTTATCTTCTAGCATGCAAACCTCTGCACGGCCTTCTCAAAAACCTCAGTGATATTTCTGCAACCCAAGTGTTTTATCTGTAAAGATGTTTATTTATTTAGAACCCTGTCCCTCCCACCAAAGCCCTCTATGCTTTTGTTTTGTACTTTTTGGGTCACGTGCCTGATGTGTGTATATCTGGGCGTCTGTGCGTGTGTGTGTGTGTGTGTGTGTGTGTGTGTGTGTGTGAGAGAGAGAGAGGAGAATTCAATTGCAAATTGTTAAAAGCGTCGCCTTATTCTACCATTGAACCAAATAACAGCCATAGGCAAAGCATTGATACCAAGCTAACTGGAATAATTGTAGACGATACCCTGGATGGTCCCTTTAGCAATTGTACATATTTCTTTCTAGAGGACTCTAATGACTTTTGTTGGACACTAGGGTTTTGGAACCTGTGAACCAGTTAAGCTATCATTAGTGTGCTCTGTGGAAGGATGAATTGTTTGACTTGGGTTTCATCTGAGCAGGATTTGTCCTCACTACGGATAGTCATGTGGCACCAGGAGCTCTAAAAACTGTGACACTAACAGCGAAACAAACTGAGAGAAAACTGTTGCTTTCTGCACTTTGGCCCCATCTACCAGTCTTTGTAAAGGGCAATATTTTAACACTAATGTTTCTCAGGTATATACTCAGCTAGTCTAGGATGGATGCGCGTCAGTAACAGGATTAGAGAGGAAGGTGGCCTATGGGTGACTGTCATTTCTCCTGCCATAGATAGAAGTTTTTAGAGGTAAAAATGAAGTCTTTCACTACCTTAATATCTGCAAAGATGTGTGTACCATAAGCTCTCTTGCCTCTTGGGCTGTGTCCTAAGAGATGGAAAATTGGATGGCCAGAAAGTCAGTCACTGGTAGTTAAATTTTTTTTCCTTCTCAATTTGGTAGCTAAGGCCATTGGGAGTTTGAAATGTAATAGAGCAGTTAACACCTTTGAAAGATTCCTGGAAAAAAATGGATTCTAAACTGGATGCATGAATCTGTACCATTTTCCTCCTCTGGTGTTGCTTTTTCCTATGTTAGAAGTTGAAAGCTCCATGCTGTCCCATGTGTGCATGCCCATGTTTCCTCATCTTGAAACTTGGAGAGGAAAGAAGTTGCCTAATGCCAAAAGTCAGTGATGGTATGTTGAAGCGATGTGTGACGAAGTATTACATGTACGCCTCTGATCCTGCCTGTCGGTCTTAGTTGTGACTGCTTTTCAGTAACTCATTTATTTCTTCTTTGTGCTTAAGATTTAATCTCTTACCCAGAACTCACAAGCAGGATTGGAGCATGTTCCATCTGGCATTGTCAGTGCAAATTGCATTTCTTGTTTAGAAAAAAGGGAACCTCACAAAAATCTTACAGATAAGCAAGATGCATAATTTTTCAAGGTTTTTGGGGGTATCCCGGGAATTTTTAGCTTTTTTCCCCCCTTTTTCTATTTTTTTTTAAAATGTGAGGAGAGTCATGGTCCTGACTCTCTTTGAATAGCATTTGTCACTTTGCCATGAAATATAGCATGCTAAGTTTATATGCTATTAAATGTTAACTTTTTAAAAAATCATATTCCTCAACTTCTTCCTGAACTCTTGGTGCACAGATCCATTTATAGTCTTCTTTTTCAGTATTGCTGTGTGTGAAGTAACTAGAACACATGTACACGCATAGCTATGAATTCTGCACTGCCTTTTTTTGTTTGTTTTTTTTTTCTTTTTTTTCCATGAATACCTCTTGGGAAATGTTTCCAGTAGGTCCCTTAACTTTATTTTGCTGCTAATTTGAGCATTAGCAGGTAACTTGCAAGTCTGGAGGCCATTTTTGTTGAGGGTAGCTGGAATTTTAGACCCTTGCAATATTTAAGACACATGTACAGCCTTGTGAAAGTTACTCTAGTGCTCCATGAAATTCATTTAACATGAGCCTGTTGCCCATTGCACTCAGTCCTGGACTCACCACTTCTCTACTGTCCTCCTTCTGCTGGACAGACCTCTGGTTTCCCAAAGCAGCGTTGCCCTCCTCTGCTGTAGTGTGACTACCGACAACTGGCTGGCTTCGATATTGTTACTGCTTCCGACAGCACGTTGACAGCCAGATCGCTGTTTAACCACTGCTAGTTTTCCTGTATCGTTTTTATTTCCTGAAAAAGATACACCAAATATGGGGTTGTCAATATCAGGAATCGAATGTCTGATTTGAGCCTCTCATCTTTCTTTAGTAGGTAAATCTCATTTGAAATCTCCTACCTGAAGCTCTGAAACAGTTTTAGAATTAAATAGTTTGACTGCACAAAGGGTTTTAATAACTTTTGGGGGGGGGCTGTAATCAGTTAAGCATTAATAGAAACTAGTTTAATTTTCACAATGGTAAATATTTTTATTCTTGAGTCCTCCAGGAATGGATTTTCCATTATAACTAGTGTCTTAAAAAAAAAAACAAACTACAAACTCCTTTAATTTTCCATGGGATCTAGAAATAAAATTTTAATACCTATAAACTGTATGTCTATGGAGTTTAGTCCTTATTTCAGATTTAAATGGAAAAAAAATCAGAAAGTATTATGGCATCGTTTAGACATCTTTAGGCTATTATATTTCCCTGCCTGATGAACAATGAGAATTTCATCCCTAGCTACGAGGTACAACCTTTAAGCCACAGAAAAGGAGAACTTGCCCCAAAATGTGGAAGTGGTCCTTGAGGTGTGAAGTATCTTATGGAAAATTGTGACTTGGTTCAGCTCAGCTCTTTGAGAGGGTTTGGGACGTGGTGTTTCTTTTTATTTTCCCGCTGCTCTTTGGCACAATGAGCATATATGTGTTTGGGGTTAAGAATCGCCTGCTCAGGATGGTAGGCCTGGGTTTCTGCTTGACGACCAGGGGGGCCCGATTAGAGCAGACATTTCCTGGTAGGCACAAAATAACCCCCAACAGTAGTGCAGCATGTTTGTTTGCTTTTAAAAAAACTTTTTACTCTTGATTTCTTTTCCTGTAAACATCCAGTGCACTAAGGCTATATCATTCCTTAAGACAGCCCTAACCTTTGTTTTTGTAATCCCCTGTATAATGTGGAAGCACAAAGAAACTGTTAAACTCATGTCATCTCAAGACCATCTCCCACCCTTTTTGTATCTTCTCATCCTAAAAGCAGCTTAACTGAAGTTAAGTAATACTGCGCTGGACCAATAGAAACGGATGTTGGGAGTATTTGTGGTATGGTAAAATATTGTATTATCTGTGAGGCTGCCCTGAACTCTTTTGTAACCATTCTTTCATCATTCATTCGTTCATTTTGCCAACATTTGTTGAGGCCCTGCTTTACTCGTAAAGGCAAGCTGAAAGCTTCAGGAATTTGCTGGGGCTCAGGAGTCCTGGGAGCTCAGCCTATGAACCAGGGGATGCCAGTGATGTCCTAAATGGAGGGACAATCCTCCCGAACAAAAAGATCACATGGATTCTGGTGAATCAGCTTAGGCTTGTGGCCCCTCTTGAGCAAGTCTGTTCTGTTCTGGAAACCAAAAGTGCCCTTCTTCTGGAGCATTTTACTCTTACATCCACTTTTTCAGACTGAGCTGTCTCTACTACTTAGGGGTTGAAAATCCGTTACGAAGTCACTTTTCATTAGAATTTGGTCATCCACGTTTGTATGAGTTGGAAGTGGGGGTTTTTTGGAGAGTGGAGAGAAAAACTGTCATCCCTGTAAAATAGCTATCATGAAAAAAAGTAGGAACAGTATGTAAAGGAAACAGTAGTGGCAGCCGTTAGGAAAATTGGAGCAGAGAAGAGCTGTGAACAAAGCTCGTTTATTTCAAATAAACATGTTTTTAAAAGTAGATTGACATCTCACCTTAAGTTTCATTCTGACAAATTACTGAACAGCTAAAGTTATTGTGTCCCGTGTAGGTTATTATAATTATTGGATGCAAAGACAATTAGTGTTTCTGGGTTGGGTTTTTGAGATAATATGCAAATCATAAGCACAGTTTCAATAAAACACATATTCTTTGAGGTGCGTTGAACTCGTTTTATTCGGAATTGAGAAGGGCAAAATTTGCTGACAAACCAGTGCCTGTGTCATAAACATAAACACAAAAAGTAGCTGTTACCGTGCAGACTGTCTTTAATTTCATAAAGGGTACGTTACTGCTAAACCAAACTACATATTTTGGGGGAAATACTTTGCTTTTATTTAAATGGACAGTGTCTCACACTGCCTTGTGGTCAGCTCACAGAGTGTTTTGCAGCTGCATTTTGGGCGTGACCAATCGTTTTTTTTCCCCCAAGTAATGCCAACAGTTTTGCGTGGCCTCCATCTAACCCAGAAAGCATGCTGTTACTACCTATGCAAGCAACTCATAAAGAATAGAGATGACACTAAATGTAAGTTTGAAAAAAAAAAGGCAACTCTTAGATTATGGAGCTCTATTTTTGAACTTGTGATTTTTTTAAATGTGGCTTAAGCATCAGTATAGAAGAGCACGAATGTGATTTCTCGTTTTGCTTTGCACATGTTTCTCTTGGCCAATTTCTTTGATCATTGGCAAGATCGTGTGTAAAGTATTTTGCAAGCAGGAGTGGAATTGGGTATGTTGAACACACACTGGTTTATATACCTTATTTAGCTGGAGACTGCTAAAGTATTTTGTTCTAAAAATAACCTGCCATTTTCTATAGATTTTAGTTTTTTATATCTTCCAGGGTTCTATCCTGGTCACAAGGAGAGAATGTGGCTTCTAATAGTGCTAACAATTTTAAAACACTTTTGTAGAGACTTAGAGCTGTTTTGGAAAGCTTTGGAGCTTCCCAACCGCTGGTCACAATAAGACTAAGCTTGTGGAATTTATGGATTAGGTTCTAGATCCATCTCACATTCATTTAAAACTGGTGTTTCCCAATTTGGGGAGAAGGGAGGTGCATAGCAGCCTGGGAAGCTTTTTCAAATCTCACACGTACTCTCCTCAACATTCTGTTAAGCCTCTTCTGAATGACTTGTCTGAGATTTCTGATACCCGGCGTTCACTAGAATCGTCTAGAGAACTTTTGAAAATGCCTGGGTCCTCCTCCGAAGCTTTTGATCTAATTAGCGTAGGGGCAGGTCCCAGGAATTGCCATATATTTTAAAGCTCCTGGTGTTTCTGATTTGCAGTCAGAACTGAGAACCACTGTGATTTGACCTCCCTTTGCCAAGATCTGTGGCGAGAATCACTGCCATACGAAGTACTCAGGAGTGACTCAGATTCCTCTGTTACGTCCAAGAGGAAAGAAACAAAGACTGAGAACTACTAGTTTCAGCCTCCTGTTGAAATGAGGGGGCCTCTCTGAGTGGAGGCCTGACTTGGGAGCATTCGTTTTGTGGGTGGCCAGCACTTGCCAGTCCGGTGGGAATTGGTCTTTCATCTGCTAGAGCTAGCAGAGAGCCCTGTGCGGTGTGCGTCCTTCCCAGAGCCTTTCCCCTGGATGCCACCCTGGGGGGGGTAGGGAAGTCACTTTGAGTTAGAAAATGCTGAAGTAAAGCCTTCATTGGCCTTGGAAAACCTGTCCCTGATTTTGATAGAATGATTATCTCTTTGTAGTAATTATAACAGCAAACCCTAGGCTGTCACCACATGTCCTGTTCAGCTCATTCTCTACTTCTCCAGAATGTAGTTTCAGGAATTATTTTTAGTTTAAAAATGAATGTGAAGTATTTTATTTGAAGTCGTCTTTTTTTGCAACTTTCGTTGGCGTTTTTTCATGTAACTTAAATCAAATAATACTCATCCAAAAACTGGGCAGGTATATGTTACCTGTGGCAGCAGATGAAATTTAGTTTTAATCTATGGTGAGCTGAGCACACTGCAACGTCTTCAGACTACCCTGCCTCTCCTCACCAGCGCTTTCATCCTGGTGAGCATTATGCTGCCTACAAAAAAAATCAATACAATTTACCTGACGTTTTCAACATTTCAAGGAAGAAAGATGTAAGTCAAAATCCAAGTTGGAAGTCCTCTTTAGAAAGGCCGCCCAGAGCATGGGGGCCGCTGTCGTGGTGAAGATGAAGTAGAGATCTCCCAGGTGCTATTCTGGTCGGCATGGGGTCGCGGCAGCAGGGAGGGGCAGTCCGGAGCTCCAGTTCCCTCTGTCGGCCTGTCAGATACACGTTTAGTGTTCCCTCTGGGCTCGCTCACCAACTGTGCCTCTCACCACTGGTTAAAACTGAATTCAAGCCCCATTACAGAAATAATTTCTGGAGCGAACTCTTGAGTTTCTACACTGGAATTTCTATGGCTGTCTGAAAAGCTGCATGTCCTATCACTGTACACAAAAATGCTTTCGGATCGTTCATTCCCTGTTCCTAGGGATTTCTGTGTAATTTTCTTCTTTAGTTGTATAGTAATTTGGAAGGCAGGATGTCTTTCCTTCAGGCTGGAAGAGAAGTGTATCATACATTTTAAATTATTTTACAACAAATGCATGGGATGTGTCACTGACTTCTGTTATTTATGTGTATGTTTTCTTATTCAAGGTGTATGCACTTTTCAGAAGCAGAATTTATATTTTTATGTTTAAAACGTTTTATTTCTGGAACAGCAGTTGGTAATACAGTATACAGTTGGAATTAAGAGAATAGTGGAAAATGTAACAAAATATAATAAATTTATTACATGATGCCCTCTTCAAGCCATATTCCTCTGTCTCCCCTTGCCCGCCTATATCTTTTTGGTGTTGACTAACCTTGGAAATTAAGCAGAAATTGTATTTGTACTACATCAGTCTATACGAAACACTTTAAAATCGCAGTGTTAAATGAAAAAAGCAAATTACAGAAAGATTCATACAGATACTCTGTAAAATTTTAAAAGGAAAGTCACATCCATGCTAATTGAATTTTCACAAGCAGGGGTGATGATTCTCACTCTCTCCAGGAGGCAGTTGTCCGGGGCCGTGGTGCTGGACAAGAGCTTGCATTCTGACTCCATTCCAGTGGATTTTCAGCATTTCATATGATCGCCTTCTGCCAAACTTTATGATGGGAAGAAAGGCATAAAAGGAACCATTCTTTTCTGGGCCCTCTCTTGCCCCTGATATCTTCTTGTTTAACCATCCTGTTCTGATCAAATTTTCCAGCCGTCTTTACCACCCTTCAGGACAGGACTCCTGTTGAGGATATCACATCACTTACGACCACTTGGGGGCACTAAAGATTGTCATTATCAAGCGTATTGTAGAAGTCCCCCGGGCGTGTTCTTAGCCTCTCTGTGGAAATGCTCATTCAGGATGAGATGAGTGTGTTCTCAGGGAGCAGGGGGTTCACTGTCGATGAGTAGCACCAGCCGTCATTTTTCCTAGAAACCGTTAGATACAGGTCCTAGAGCAGATCTTGTTTTCCTAAAGCACAACATTATGGTTTAAGGTTGGGGCAGAGAAACTTCCTAACCAAGGACAAGTGTAAACCGCATGCCGTAAAACCCAAGGTTCAGCACTTCCAAACCTCTCTCATTTTAAATGGTAAAATTGTATGCTGGGTTCTTTAAAAAGTTTACCCATGTAGTACACAGATTACTCAGGAAGCTTCGTTATGCCTGAAAGTGTTCGCATGCCGTTAAGTATGTCGATTTTAATAGTTATGCAAGTAGTTAAGGATCATTTTGTCTTGCCTTAGAATTTGGAAGATTGTTTACAAATATTTGAATGATCATTCTGTCCCTGAACACTTTTCTCTCCTCTATCCATCTTCCAGGAGAAAGCAAAGCCATGATGAAGCCCCTTGCCCTGGACCACATGTTCCTGTGTGCCCTGTGAGAGATTCTAGGCCGCTGTCACTCTGCAGGATGTGGCTTGTGGCCTGTCCCCACCTCCAATATTCCCTTTCTCTTTCCCAGGCCAGCTCCTGAGTTCTCCCAGGGGGTTGTTTTCGGTTTTCCTTTTCGCAGCCCTGTTCCGTGTCTCAGGTGTCCCCACACAGGTCATCTCGTAAATGTCACCTCTCTGGGTGGGTTGGGTCTATGTCATATGGAACCCTCTGGAATTCAGCCTTGATTTGGTCTGCCCCGTGTTTCTCACCCCCTGCCAACCATTGCTGCAGAGAGAGAGGACAAGGGCTCTCCTCTCCCAGAGTGACTGGATTTTCATGATGCTCTGCAGCCCAGTGGCCTTGCACCCCATTTCTTAGAGCGTTCAGGGATATGATGTTAATTTGACTTGCTCTTTGGACTTGTAACAGCTCAATTTTTCTTAAAGAAAGTAGGACGATAACGTGAGTGACACCAGTGTTGTAGTCAGAATCAGGCCTCCCTGCCCCTGGCAGGCCCTCCTGTGCCTTTCCTTTGTTTACGAAGAATTCATAGAGGTCACAGTACACAGATCCAGTTCCGAGGCTCAGGGACAGGTGTCAGATTCATCATCCCTTCAGAGGGTGGGGAGGGGAAGACACAGGGTGGCCAGTGTGGACCAAGGGTGGGTGGCGCCAGCCCATACAAGGTTGCAGTGGGGAAGGTGATCCTTCACTGCCACACTCTAAGTCCAGGTGCCTGCCTTTAGCAGGGGCTTCTGTGTGCACAAATGCTGGGGATACGACCACACCCCGAGGTCACTGTCTAGTCAGGGAGTCAAGTTGGTTGATAGATAATTAACATTTCAGTGCTCTTCCATCATACATCGCGATGTTCCCACTCGTTTCCACCACACTTCCTGCTGTTCTGCCTAGAAGGCTTGTTGCTGAGATGCCCACACAGCTCACTCCTTTAGCTCCTTCACGTCTTGACTCAAATGTCACCGTCTCAGCGAGGCCTTCCCTGACCACCCTTTTATAATGTTGCAACCCGCTTCACATTCTCTCCCTCCTCCCTGCTTATTTTCTTCATATCACCAACTGCCACAGTATAGATGCATGTACAGTGTATATGCATGTACAGTATATATGCCCACAGGAAGGCAGGAGTGTTTGCCTGTTGTGTTCACTGCTCCTTTCTGAGCACCTCAGAGAGTGCCAGGCACATGGTAGTTACTTAGTAAATATTTACTAACTGAATAAATAGATTTGCTTGGGTAATCCACTCAACCCTTCTGAGTTGCCTTCCTCTCTAGAAGATGAGTAACAGTACCTGCATTGTAGAGTTGTGAGGGTTAGAGTGGAACGATGCCTATATAGCATTCAGCACAGTGCCTGGCGCAGAGAAAGTGCTCAGTGAATGATGGATGCCATTTATCATCGTAACAGTAGGGGTCGGACTTGGCGGGGGTGGGCACTGACCCTCATGGGAGATTTACAGAGGAGGGGCACTACATTCCAGGCTGGGAAAACGGCTTGTACTTTCTGGAAAGCCCAGGAGTCCAGTCTTCCTGGAATGTAGGGCAGGAAGGCAGGAAGCAGTGGATGGAAGGGGAGGGGATTGGCAGAGGCCTCATCTAGAAGGACCTTTTATGACCTACTACGTTTGTCTGGAAGTGAATGAGAATCCAGGAAGAGATTTTAATTTAGGAGAGAGAGGAGATCCAGTTTGAGCCTGAGTGTGGTCACCATGGCAGCGATGTGGCACCAGCTGTAGGAGCCCTGGTTAGGAGCTTGCTGAGGAATCTGGGTGTCTGTGAAGGGCTGAGCTGAAGCAGCACTGGGTGGACCGTGAGGCAGACCGCTCCCAGAGAGGTCACATGCTCGCGCCCTGGAGGCAGGCTGCTTTGCTAGAATTCTGGTACCGTGACTTCTAGCTGGACAACCTTGGGCAGGTCACTCAACTTCTCCGTGCCTCAAATTCTTCACCTGTAAAATGTGGCTAATAGTATCTATATGATCGTTGGGCTTAACTGGGATGGTTGGTTTATTTACATTTAATGTAATTTTGGTTTTATCTCCTATCCTACTGTTTCTTTGATATTTGTACCACCTGTTTTATGTTTCTTTTTCTCGTCTTTCTTGCCTTTTAGATCAATCAAGCATTTTTTAAATTCCAATTTTTCACCTCTGTTAGCTTGTTATTCATTCTTTTGCTCTTCTTTTAGTGGTTATCCTTGTGATTTCAGCATGCATTCTTGTTTATAAGAGTCTAAGAAAAATGAGTAATTTTTATCCCTTAAGGGCCATAGAACACTTTAATTCCATTTACCCTTTCCACCATTTGCTATTTCTTGTGCATTCTAATGCTATGTATATTTAACATACATAGATATAAAACTCATATAACTAACATTATTATTAATAGTGGAAGTCAATATTCACTCAGATTTACCAATGTGTTTACTTCCCATTGCTCTTCATTCCTTCCTGCATTTCAGAGTTTCTTCTGTGATCATTTTCCTCTGCCTGAAGAATTCCCCTTAGTGTTTCTTTTTTAAGCCTGTGCTAATGATGCATTCTGTTCACTTTTGTTTGATTGAAAATGTCTTTATTTTGCCTTTACCTTTGAAGGCTATTTTCACTGGGAATAGAATTCTAGGTTGGAAGTCATTTTCTTTCATTTTTATTCCATGGTCTTCTGCCTTTTATTATTTCTCTTGGTAAGTCAATTATTAGTCTTATAGCTGTTTCTTTGAGGGTATGACTTTTTTTCTCCTAAGTGCTTTGAAGATTCCTCTCTTTGTTTTTCATCAGTTTTATTATGATGGACCTAGGTGTGGGTTTTTTTAAAAATTTGTTTGTTTTTATCCTGCTCTTCATAGATCAGACTTAAGAAATTTTCAGCCATTATCTCTTGAAATATTGCATCTCATCCACTTTTCCATCCTCTTCTAGGACTCAGTAAGGGGCATCACTGTCTGTCCCAACTGCTCAGTCCAGAAACCAGGGATCCATCCCTGACTCTGCCTTTTCCCTCAACCCCTGTCCTGACACCTAATCTATTTTATACTCAAAGCACTTCTCAGTCTCTGAAATTCTTATTTATTTATTGACTAGTTTATCATGTGCCTTCCCCACCAGAATGTAGTTACCATGAGAGCAGAGTCTTTGTCTTTGCTCTATTACTTATGTCATTTTGGCTAAGTAACAAAATGTCCAAAGTCAGCTCCATTATTTCAGTGTTCCACATGAGCGTACTGAGGCTCAGAGAGAGTAAATAACTTACCTAGAAATGACACAGGTAATAAGTGGTAGATCTTGGGTATGAACTTCAGCCTATTACTTCAAAGCTTGTTTTTTTATATTGTTACTCTAATACCCTACACTATATTAAATAAGGGAGTTTAATAAACAACATATACAACTGCATTTAGTAATGCAGTTACTAGAAGGGAATCTTTCTACATTGTATGAAGTCCTTTTTATTTGTAATCACTGAGTAATTTTTACTACAGCAAATTCAGGAAGTGAGGAAATTTCTACTTTTGGTAACAGAATTTAGGAGGGCCATTTTGACTCAATTTTTTGGGGGGAAACTTACAAAAAATAATTTTAGACTTATAGAAAAGTTGCAAAAATAGTTCAGAGAATTCCCATGTATTATTCATCCAGCTTCCCCTAATGTCAGCATATTGCATAACCATATACAATGATCAGAACCTGAAATTAACATTGGTATAAAACTATTAACTAAACTACAGACTTTATCTGGTTTTTACCCGTTTTTCCACTAACACCTTTTTTGTTGTTGTTTCAGAAACCAATCCCAGATCTCACGTTACATTTAAATGTCCTCTCTCCTTAGTTCCTCCAATCTGTGCCAGCTCTCAGTCTTTCATGAC